AGGTAATGTTTAAGTGAAGGATTTTGATGTTTGCTGTCTGTTTGCTGATTTATTTAATTTTCGTTAATTGAAGTTTTGGCATTGAGGAGATTTGTGAAGGTAAATAATGTGCAACAGTTATTTTGAATTTAAAATTTTTCGCATCATTTTTGCATCTTTTTTGAAACTTTCCGTTCAATTTTTAAAAATTTGAATAGATTTTCTGCATCATCTTTGATTTTTCGCATCATTTGGGTTTGAGGCTGTCGAAAGACACGGAGAGTGCAGCAATGTCTAAACCACAAATGTAAACATGAAAAACTATTAGGAGCCGATTCAAACAATCCAGACCTACAACCTTCAAAATACCTCGTTATCAAACTTAAGCAACAAATTGAAAATAGAATTAATTAGCGTATTTTAGATAACAACAAGCGAGCATTACCCAACAATACCTTCAATTCTATTTATTTTTGTGCATGTACAAATCAAAGTGGAAGTCAATATAATGGGATGGAATGTAATATGTGGATATAGGTAGAAAATAAGCAGAGATAATTGAGTAACTGGACGGAATGGAAGAACTCTTTGGAGAGCTAAATAGTAAAAAAAAAGCTTAATTAAAGATTTAAAAATTACGATTGCATTGTTGTATTGAAACTTATGTTTAGGCTTTTTGGATGAGAATGGATAGAAAGCAAGCAAATGTTTTTTTTCGAGATAATTTTAATAAGAATTGATTCTAAAATAAATTGGATGCATGACTTAATAGCAACATACTTTAGGGATTGTTCTATAGACGCACTATATACAGACTAGACCAGACCGGTTGAATGAGGAAGAATTTAAATGAACGCAGAAACAATCGTGCAAAACAATTTTCATACAATTGCAGTCATTCTGCTTCACACAGACCACAAAACCATTTCTTTACTCTAGTAATGGCAGTAAATTCAAGAGGGAAATTGCGTAAGAGCGAAATATGGCAGAAAAGAGCTCACAATATGTTGGCACTTGTGTTATTGCTACTGCAAATAAAAGTTATACATTCAATTACCATAATATACTCATTCATATTTATTCATGTTAACAAACATTTCTTTTTAAATATTTTTATTGTTATGAGCTTCAAAATCGAATTATGAATTGAAGTAAAAAAGTTTTTCATAAAAATTCGTTCGACTTATTATGTTAATCAGCAGTGCTGTCGAGCAACTTTATTACTACTTGCTCATTTCTTTTTGGTTCGTGTTTATTCAATGGAAATTCCTTTTCGAAAACTTTCTACTTGATCACGTTGCTTGATGCAATTCGCTTACAATCAAACTTTACTTTTTGGTGCCTGATTTGCAGTTTTTTACATTTTTCTGCGTCTCGATTAAGTAATTTAATTAAATAATTTATTATTTGACAAGGCATGAACAAGCTAAAAAGAGGAGGAAGCTGGGCTTAATTTTCATTTCTTTTTATGTCGCTAAGTCAATAGGTCAAATGTAAATTTATTCAAAGCGTTCGCATTCACATGATAAGATGCTTAATGCTGTACATACAGCATAGTTTCATCTTTCTCACTTCCACTTAACTTTTGCCTTCTTTCCATTCATTCTCATTCACTTCACTTGTGTGCATTTTGATGAACAAAATAAAAAAAGAGTCTTTCAAGATAATTTGAATTTACACGCAATGCTGCTGCATGGATTTTGTTCTCAATTTCCTTTTCATTGTTTGTTGTCGGTGAATCTTTCTAGAACATAGTTCCATGTTAGTCTAATTCAATTAAGTTTGCTGGGTCAAATTGTTGACTCTCGCAGTCACCTCCCATTAAATTAATTAATCCGTTGACTGAATCATCATTTAGATATTTTTGTGTCGTTCTGGACACGTTGTTCTATTTCTTAATATCTTCAATGCCATTTTGAGTACATTCCTCAATTTTGAATTCCTGCAGTGTCATTTTACAATGAAAAAAAGCTTTTCTGATAAGATTCTTATTGACTTTATAGATATAAAGGCACGAGTAAACAAAAACATCCAAATATCTTGTCAATAAAACGGTCAAAAGAAGCACAATGCCAGAAAAACAAATATTTTGATACAAAATGATAAGATAAGGCACAAACTGCAATCAATTAAGTTCCCATAAATGTCCAAAAAGATAAAAATTTCACCCATTCTTGTTCCTTATCACTTTCTGATTTTCCTTTATTCCGTGGCATATTGACATGTGCTGAATGATTAAATCGAATGAGTTTTGAGAAAACCAAACAATTGAAAACTTTATGTCAGGCACAGAATAAAGAAAAAGGGTCGAAAAACTTTTAAGAGGTCACGAAATAGCTGCGATTATTTCTATTATATCCCCAAAAAATCTTGATTTTATGACATTAACATTCACATTTGCCTTTTTCTATAGAACAATTCTGTTGACTATTGACACGCAAAATTAAGTATTTTTTTGGTAATGAATTCCTTTTCGGAATGAGAAAGCAAAAGTCAGGAAAAAAGTAATTAGTCTTGAAAAATTAATGACTAAATTCTAGGATTAAAGTACGAACATTGCTTCTTATTGGAACTATTTATGGTTTGCATGTAAAATTAATATTTCCGAAATGAATTGTAATTAATTCCTTAGGTCTAGGTTTAGGTATTATTAACATACTGTAGCTTGCAGAGTTGCTATCTTATAGTTTTCAGTGTTCATGTCTGAATGAAGCTACTGTTTTGTACTACACTAGAATTCGATGTCTACGTGAGAGGTCTTGACATGACATTGTCTGCTCGTACAGACCCAATCACAGCAAAACATCTATAATCTCGAAAAAACTAGACATCTGGGTTAACAATGCAACTGCTGACTTGCAAAAATATCTCGAGATAAAATCCGTAAAGTTATTGATATGGAAATTATGGAGGTAGAAATTGATAAATATTAACATTTTTTTTATGACGAACGAACTTTCAAGGTAGCAAATGTCATCGAATTGAGAAGGTTGCCACCAGCATCGATATGATTATATTAAGTCGCTGACGTTTTCACTTTCAATCCTACCACATGTTAGATGGTAGCATAAAAATAACAATGGAACTCGTTTGATGACTCAATGACTTGAGGAAATGCCTCCTTTTAATTCAATGACTGAATTGTTTAAGGGTAATTTATGCCACAAGTCTATAAACAGAATACATTATGCTTCATTAAAGGAATTCAATAGATTAAAAATCGTAAAAAAATGAGAAATTATATTCAGTAGGTTCAGAATCGGCATGGAAAAAAAGTCTTTTGTGTGGGAAATGACATTCAAGTATGAGCCAATAAACTTCTTAAAATTACGGTGCATGAAGATATTTAAGCATTGCAGCTTCAAAGTACTTTTTAGCTTTAATGAATGATGATTTATTGTCGACGATTTTGTTCACGACTTTCTAGGTCATGACACTTTTACAGAAATACCAAAAAAAAAACTAATATCAGTTACCTTTATGTGCTTCCACTGTAATCTCTCAATTTCATGTCACATCATTTTTTTCCTGTGTGGTATTAAAAAGGTAGATGAAGACAAATTAAATGGAATTACGTTTTTGTCTTATGAAGAAGCATTTATGTCGCTTAAGGCAACATTCTATATTGGGTAGGTCACTAGTTCTGCCATATTGGGCTGAATATTATACATTGTAATAATTTTGTTATAGGCTAAGGTTTGATTATTATTACATTGACATCTTAATTATGGGGCCAAGAATATAAAACGCCAATTACACTTTTGCGTGATAGATTCTTGCCACTTTTGTCATTAAATTGGAATATTAAGTTCTTGGAATATTCTTAAATTGATGGAGAAATCAACGAAATTAATTTTAAGGTGAGAAAATTTTTCAAAATGGTGGAATTTATTTTTTTAAATTTTGAGAATCCGTTAAAATGTTAATTTTATTTTATTTTGAACAGATCATTCTTTACGTCAAGTAAGAGACCTAGGATCGTTATAACCTATAAAAAAATGCGCTTTTATATAACAAATGTGTTCACTTACTTTCGTCTGATTTGATTACTTATTTTTGATGTCAAAAAATAATTGAGAAAAAACTTTCATTTCACTTTTTTTCCGTTCACAAATTGCCTCCCATTAATTCAAAGTGACTGTTTTATGTGGAAGTAGTTTGAGAATCTTTTTTGATAACAATTCTGTTCATCAACCTTGAATGACATTTTATTCATGGGATGTAAATAGCACCCTGTAATCAAGAATCTGATTCAGAAGTTATCAAATTTACGGATTTTTCGCTCGAATACGTTGATGGCGGTAATTTTTGATTCTAATGAAGCAAATGAGATAAGTAAATTATATATGCAAAATAAAATGTGAACCCGAAAAGGTGGGTAAACATAAACAGCAGAAAAGGTTCATTACCATAAATATGAGAATTTTATTAATTAAGACTTGTGTGCGAGATGTTAGTACCCGATAAAGATTTTGCTACAATTCCCTACGTTCCTATTTTTAGGCATAACTTTATTCAATCAAAATTAACACTCTTTGTACACATTTGCATAAATGGACATGAAATTGTGTAGCAACAAACATTTTCAAAAAAAAAAACGTCGAGCAATTATTGTATTTACTTTTTTTTCTCTTTTTAAATAGATCGATACGGTACAATAAAGCAACAAGACCACTGTTAAGTCTTTTAATAGCTTATGATCACATCTTTTGCTTTTCAGTCAATTGAAACATTTTTTTTTCTCAATATTGCAGTCAGTGGTATAAATTGTTTTTAATGAACTGCGAAAAATATTGAAAAATGAAATATAATTGTGATCGGAGCATGATGTGATCTACCTTAATAATAGGTAGTAGCTGAACTTTTAAGTTAAGCTTTTGAAGTATACTGAGATGATAAAATTCAGTTTAAATTTATGATTGAAACTTTTTAACGAATTCAGTTGAAAACTTGATCGAAGAAAGCTTTTAAAATAATTTTTCAAACATTTTTATATATTTTTTTGTACAAAAAGCTTCACAATGAGCGACTCTAATAAGGATAACGAGCATGACATTGAGAATATTCTTAATCAATTTTCGGAGCAAGACATAATTAGAAATTTATTGTTTGAAAGTCTTAAAAGAGAGAAGGAATTGAAGAGATTGTTGAATGAGCAATTGATTATTAATGATAAGTTGAAAATCGAACTGGAAATAGAGAAAAGGAAGACTTCCATTAAAGGTATTATGGTAATTTGATATTTCCTTAAAAGTTCTGCAATGAAATAATTAATTTTCAATCCTTTCATAGTTGAGTCATCATCAGATGAATCAGAAAAGTCTTATGAAAACCGTCAAAAAATAGAGGAAGCACATCCAAGCGAAGAAGATCTAAAAGACACATTCGGTACAAATAGTGGACTGCTGATGCAATACAAGTACTATTCTGTAGTATTAATTGTTCTTATCTCTTTATTTATAACGTCTACATCTTTAATTGTTAAGTGACTCAATTTAAACATTTGTTATTCAGCTACGAAACATGTTGGCGCCAAAAATGTATGCAACATAATAAATAAATTTTAATCTACAATCCTCAAAAAACTCTTTCCAGATATGACGACCTTCGAGAATCATACACGAGATGTGTCAAGAAGCTCAATAAAAAGAACAAGCAATTAAAGAAAATTCTCCAAGACGCTGAATACCAAAGATTCTTGAACATTCAATTGAAATCTGATAATGAGAATCTTCACGAGAAAATCAAGAAAATATGTCATCGATATTTCATGCTAATGGATAGAAGATGCGAGGAGGTTCGCAATTTAAAATTGTATACCTTAATTGCAAAATATTGAATTTGATATGCTCATTTTTTCAGAAAAATATGTTAGAGAATCAAATTGAAGAGCTTCAGATGCATCTGAAGAATTGTGAGGATTCAAATGCGAAATTCTATAGCAAAAGTTCAAATTTATTAAAATATTAGTATATACTTTCTCCTGCTCCTTCTACTGCCACCTTGGTTTAAATCCAACATGAACTCCAGTCGAAGACTTCAAAGTCATTTGCGTCATTATCTTAAGTTCTACATCACTCTTAGTTAATTCAAAATTCCTCAAAATATTGCACATTGTGCTTTTAAGTTCCAACATAGCAAACTTCTGACCAATACAGTTTCTCTGACCAGCACTAAATGGAACATAAACAAAAGCATTCTCGTTTTTCAAAACTTTATCAAGGAATCGTTCAGGCTTGAATTCTTCTGGATCATCAAAATATAATGGATCTCGGTTTGCATGATAGATTGACAAGTTGACATTAACAGTGGCTGGAATGATTTTCCCATCGAAATCTAAATCTTCATCCATACTTCTCCCAATCATTGGAACTGGTGGATACAACCTTAATGATTCTTTAATGCAGCATTCAAGGTACTTCATATCAAGTAACTGATTATAAGTGGGATAAACATCTAAATCGTCTCCAACAATTTTATTTACTTCCTCATAGACTTTCTGCTGAGCTTCTGGATGTTGTGACAAAAGATAAAGTGTAAATGTTGTTGCTGCTGTGACTGTGTCATGTCCTTCAAACATAAAAGTATCAACTTCTTCAGCAATCTCTGCATTTGTTAAAGGTTGGCCATTTACAGTTGATTTCAACAAGACATCCAGCAAAGCTAATCTTTTCTTCATCCCAACAGATTCATCATCCAGATCTGGAATTTCTATATCTTCATTTACAATCATCTCGCGACGTTTTTCAATAATATTTCTAGTAAATCTATGAAGCACTTCAAGATACTTATCATAAAGTACCTTATCTTTTGAGAGATTGAAGATAACATCAGGTCGTTTCCAGAACTGCATCATTCTATTTGTGATAACGTAAGTCATTCTAAATACAAATAGTTAAATTAGATTCTAAGATAAAATCATTAAATGAGCAAGCTTACTCTCTGACTGTCTGTGCATATTCAGAATTAGTTATTTGAGCATTTAACTCAACTCCCATCGATGTTTGACAGATGATATCAAGTGACATTAGCGTCACCATGCCATAAATATCAAAAGGTTGCACACTTTTCATCTCCTTCAGTTTATTTACAAAAACTCGGTTCTGCTGATTAAAAACATCCACAAATTGCTGCAATATTTTAAAATGGAAAGTAGGTGTGATGATTTTACGTCTTGTGAACCATTTTTGACCTGTTGATATAAGCAGTCCATTTCCAAGCCATTCATAGAGATGCTCGTATAAATTATTCTTTGTTAATTGCCTCTGATTTGATAAGAGAATTTCGAATAATCTTGGGTCCTTCGTTAGAATCACAAGTCGTTTAAAAACCCAAATTCGCATAGTATCGCCAAATGTATCAAAATAATATTGTATTAATGGCATAACATCTATAAACAAGTCAATTTTTATTTGATAAGTCTCAAACGATTATTATATAATTATTAACCTTCAGGTTTACGCCTTAAATAGAGCAAACTGTTTCCAATAATTGGAAATGTTGGTGGACCGGCGAATAAATTTGCACATTTTACTTTACGTGGATCTTTAAATCCAAATTTGTCATATACAAATAACAAAACAATAACTAGCAGCCCAAACCACAAAAATAACATTTTAAACAGTAATCACAAAACACTTGCTACTTATTTAAAATTGGAACTTCTACTGATTCACAATCAGTTTTCATTTAGAGAATTAAACTGATTTTAATGGAAATGAGAATGAGAGCGGATTATGATGCAGTAACGATCAACTTCGTCGGACTCTCTAGAGATAAAAAAATGCAACTCATGTTTAGGGTGACCATCTGCGTAGTTTTACAACGGACAGTCCTGTATTTCAAACCCTGTCCTGTATAAATTTGAAAATTTTGTTCCAGGTCCTGTATTTTTTTCACGAAAATTTCCGTTAATTTTCAAATTTTCCTTTGTGTCCTGTATTTTTTAGGAAATTTATCAAATGTCCTGTATTTTCATAAAAATTAGATGGCCACCCTACTCATGTTCTCAGTATCTCGTTAGTCTGGTTCAAACATTAGCTTAAATCATAAATATTTTTTGGAGTTTCCCGCCAATTTTGTTAAATTCTAACCTAGCCTATACAGAAATCACATACACTTGATCCTTGGAATTAGTCCACTAAAACTTATTTATTCAAATTTTCCTTAATCCATCCTATAAAGGCACTTATGTCTGTAAAGCTAACAGGATTCTTCAAAGAACATTTTCCATCAGAGCCTGTAACTGTGATGCTTGCGATTCCTCTAAGATAGTACTTATTATTTATAGTCTCAACTATTCCGCCACCTGAATCTCCTGGACATACAAGTCCTTTTTCATTACTTTTAGCACAGAATGTTGAGTCCTCGGGTAGTAATGCGAAGAAAATGTTGTCTGTACATTCATCTCGAGAAATTATCGTCATTTTGCCATAGTGTAGATATCTGCTAGGCTCAAGACTTTCTACAGTCGATCCAAAACCTAGAACAGTCATATCCGTGCTGATTTTGTCTTTTATTGGAGATAGATTATTGTTTAAGCATATTGGTCGTATATATCCAGAGAATTGAAGACTACCATCAACAATTATTAATGCTATATCCTGTTTTATCACTTTATCATGATGATAACTTGGATGCTTAATGATTTTAGATACTTTTCTTAATCGTTCATGTCCTTTCAAGCTGTCTAAATCAACTGATCCAAAAAGCAGATGAAAATCTTTAATTGGCAATGGATTTTTCTCAGAATTGACCACACAGTGGCCTGCCGTTATTGATGCTTTTTCTGTGATCAAAGATCCTGCACATCTGTATAAAGAATTGTAAAATATTGCTGCATGGAATGGAAATTGACCATCATGAGCTATTTCTCCGCCATTGACTCGAAAAGATAGGGAATTTATTGACAGACCGCATTCGTAGTTTTCCTAGAAAAATATTTAAATCTATTGTCTGGGGTTGTTTTATTGAAATGAATCTGAAATTGCTTACATTAAACACTTCTTTTGCAATTTTGGTAGCATTCGGAAACAAGTGAAATGGAAGGTTTTCAAGCCTTAATTCACTTCTGGGCTTTCTGGTCGTTTTAACTGTCGAATATAGATTAGATCTGTTGATGTCGTCATTTTTAGTCAAACAAATTTGAATATTGTCGACATAAATTTGTTGAAGCTTCGGAACTTTCTCAAAATCATCAAACTTCACCTGAAAGTTGATGACTAAGTTTGAATTCTGTCTGCTTTCTTTCTCGTTTATTATTGAAAAGATTTTTTGATTATTTGTAATGGAATCGCCAACATCATTCTAGAATTAATCTTAATTTAAATATCTATTATAAATTCAGCTTTAAAAACCTATTTCTTACAATAAAGGCAAGCAAGTCCTTGTCGAAGAGAAAATCAATTTTCCTTCCAATATTAAATTGATGTCCATAAATAGTCAAGATTCCTTCCCAACTGTCATTTTCATTGTTCAAAATTTCCAAATCAGCACATTCATTGCTGACAATCTCATCAGGACATAATTGAATATCATTGACCTTAACTTTAAGTATAACAGGTAGAGCAGATAGTTCATTAAAATTCACAAAGAAATTGAATTTGAGTACTTCTCTTCGTTTTAGCATTTTTGAGTCATCAGTTATAACGAAAATTCGATTATCTCGAGATGCTGAATGACTAAAATCATTCTGAAAGTTTTCAAAGACTTTTAAAATGATTTTTCTTAATTAATTTAAGTTCTTATGCTCACCACAAATCCAACTACAGCATCATTAAATTCAATCTCAATTTTAATTCCTTTCTGATCACGAATTGGATTATAATTAAAACTTCCATACCATCGATTATCTAGTGCTCGCACAAAATCAATTTGAGGACAAGAACTTGCTAAAATAATCGGTTCATGTAGTGGCTCTTGATGCTGATTACGATTAAAATGTTGAAATTGTGGATGATTTCGATGTGAATGACCGAAATGATTTCGATTATTCTGATTGTGTCGTTTGCCATAAAATCGTCTATGCTGTGCCATAGATTCATGGATTAAGAGTATCAAACTAATCAACTGGAAATTTGTAGAATACATTATTGTATGTTAAATTAATTTAAAGAAGTTCCTTTACTTTATAAAGTTCCATTTTACGGGATGTAATTTATTTTTAAAAAAAGAATAGCTTTGCTTTCCAAAAAGTTCTCAACTGTGATTGCTTATAATGTATATTGATGACTGAATACTCGCTTCAATTGTATATATTTAAGAAAAAAATTAAGAGAATAAGCAACAAAAGTGCTGCCTTAGAAAAAGAGAAAAACTTGAATAATTTTAAAGTGTCTGAATGCTTTTAACTTAAAATAATTAACTCAGTTCATCTTCCAATACATGCTTAGTGCTTCCAATCAGCCCAGTGTGATTCACTGTCAAATTGACGATTGTGGATGAATTTCTCAAGTCTTTCGCCTCGTTCAATCAACTCATTAATCATAAAATCAACTTGACGAGCATGTTCTTTAAAGTCCTTGATGTGGTTTTCAATGAATACCTTTTCAACCTTGGATTTCGCTTTTGTGTCCAAATAACTCTCTAGCTGAGAGAATAGATTCTTAAAATGACCTCCAACTATGTCCAAATGTGTTGAAATTTCGAATGACGTTGATATGTTTTGTTCATTGCTTTCGTCTAATGATGTTGAGGCTGGCGTATATACATCATCATCATGGCTATTGTTATTTTCTTCCTCAATGCGACTGAATTGTTGTAAGCTTTCTGGAGAAAGCAGCGCAGAAACTTGCAAGGAAATACATGATTCGGTGTTTCGTCTAATTAGCTTCTCGTTACTTGGTTTTCTTATTAAAGGAATTCCATTTGGCCAACGAGTCTGAACTTTTGGTGCTATATTTGAATATTGCTGTCTGTGACCACTGGATGTTTCAAAATATTGAAATTTGATAATTTCCTAACAAAATCGAAGTCATTCTATTACTTACCTCAATGATCTACGTTTATTTGGTGTGATTATCATTTTGTCGTGTTAATTAAGCTATTTTTATTGTAAGTTATTGTGTTGAATTTTGTCAAAACCATACAAATGTTGTAGCGGGGGTTCGTCAAATCCATACAAATGTTGTAGGGGGGTTCGTCAAATCCACACAAAAGATTTAATAAGGTGTTCGTCAAAACAATACAAAAGTTTTAGTAAGGTTTTCAATATTCGAAAAGCCGTTATTATCCTAAAATTCAAAACTCAAATAGCCGTTAGAAGACATAGATTTTATAACCTTTTAAAAGATCAAAATTTTATTAACGAAACATGTTTAAATTAAATCAAATATATTTAGCGGCAGCAAAGGCATCGAACACATTGGATGCACAAAATGAAAAAAATGAGAACAAGTACTATAATAGAAACAATGCCGATTGGAGAAGTGATAAATATAAGAATTGGACAGATCATAGCTGCTTCATCAATCTTTGCTTCCAAACTCTTATCTTCCTTGTTGTTTATTATAAGATTAGCCATGCATTCTCTTTCTTGAAGGCTTTTATCTGGATATTTTACTTGAAGAGTTTCTGCAATTCCATAATTAGCCAATTTATCGACGAATGAATTGCCTTCACAATAAGCTATTAGGCATACACCTAATACAGCTAGCAATGTATACATTCTGTAATATTAAATAACACTTTAGATTGATAAAAATTAATTAAATTAAGTCTTACCCCGATTTACACATGTTTTTACCAGTTTTTACGAACTTATTTCAACAAAGTTTTTTTAGCAATGACTTTTTACACTACGTTCCCCAAAACCTTACAAAAGTCGTAATATTCAAAAATTTTAAAGCCGTTATGTAAGTAATAAATGAAATCATTCAATGTGACTAAAGCGCATTTCAAAACAACTTCAACTCATTAATAACAATATATAAATCTTTATTTTATTGAATAAAAGTAATATCACCAAACCGTTTCCATGACTATAAAAACTATTAAGATTATAATAAATGCACAACTCAAGTTGCTCTAATTATGGTACCGACATCAGCATCCAATGTGATTTTATCACCATGTTTGATCTTATCTGTAGCCCATTTAGCACCAACTATGCATGGTAGGTTGCCTGTAAAGGAACCAATTAGATTGTATCGACAAGTTTATTGACTGTTTAGAAGTGGCGAAAGCGCGTTACCAAACATTTCATAGTATTAAGAGGATAAATAGCTTACATTCTCGAGCAACAACAGCACCATGTGAGATGAGACCACCAATCTCGGTACAAATTCCACTTATTACGTTAAAGTACGGGGACCATGCGATATCCGTGCTGCAAAAAAAAATTGTATCAGGTTTAGTCATGCTTATAAGCTATATATGAATTACCAGAATGTGATCAAAATATCTCCCTTTTGAAGCTTATGAATTTCTGAAAAGTTCTTGATCACACAGGCTCTAGCTGTTACTCTTCCGCTGCATACAGGCATTCTGAAATGATAAAATGTGGTTTATATAAAAAAACTTCCCCAATACCTTAATTAATCCTCACCCTTTGACTAAAATATCACCTTCCTCAATTTGTACTGGATCATTCATATCCGACATAGGTTTCGGCAGTCCGAAACAAATCTCCTCAAAAAGGAACTGATTATGTACTTCAATCATTTTCTGACGTCTAATTGCCTTCTGTATCAGAGACACTTCTTTATTCTTAATGACAGCTTTAATCTCTTGAACCGATAAATGATAAATTAAATCTTTATCAGGAAGTAGTCCTTCGTGGACCATCTTTTGACTTAGATGTATAACACCTCGACGTAGTTCATTGACACATTCTATTAGCATACTTTTTGCAGTTTCTCTATACTGCACCCCATTACGACATCGAACAATCATAAATCTTAAGAGTCTACGTGATAAGTTTGTTATTGGTGTCTTCAATTTATCAATTATATCCTCAATGTCTACCTCGGATGAATTGTTAGAGCTTGTATTTGGTGATATCCTTAAATTTGTTTTAATCATTTCAATAACTTTCTCAGGTTCCATTTCCCATGTTTTGGATATCAAATCAAACTCTTTTAGTGCTCTATGTCCATGACGTTCCATAAACTTTTTGAATAAATTGTATGACTCAATATCATTTGTTTCTAACCATTCTGGACATGATTGGTTATCGATTTCAAGCAGTTCATTCTCTTTTCCTGATGCCTTAATGCTTTCTGCAAGTTGTTGGATCATCTCGGGTATGTTGGCAGACTCAACATTTCCAATTGTGCCTAAGATAAGTGTTACATCACGTTGATGCTCAGTAGTTAATTCTTTAGAACCTTTTGTTAAGACACTGAAAATGAATGCGTTGTAAATCGCACTATAACTTGAGACATACATATGTGCATCAATGATGATTGCATAATTCTTAATCTCCTGAATTACTAAATCTAAAATTTCCGAAGAGGTTTTGTATTTCAATAGACTCTGCTCTGATAGTCTTATCTTCATCTTTTCTAGCGCTTTAATTGGATATTTACGGTACTTATCAATAGTATACATGGAATAAGCCATGAACTTCATTTGACCCATACCAGCCTTAAATTTATTCGTAAATGTATTTCTATGTCCCATAATTTCCATCAAGTTTGGATACTGTTCGAATATATCACCTCCAAAGACAGAAAAGGACATTGCTTTGTTCATTACAGATGGCTCATTACCCATAGTCTTTAAAAATTGATTATATGCTTCCATGAAGATTGTATCATTAAAAGTAGCATAGATTTTCCTGTAAAGTGGACTGTACAGAACTCCAAGCATTTCCAAATTCTTTTGTTCAAACTTTTCTGTTATTAGTGAATTTGATAGTTTAGATATAGCACCGCTCAATACTTCCCCAACGTTAGCTCTAGTGTATATGTCATAACTGCCCATAACAGCTGAATCAGTTTCGTGTGCAATTTCATAGTCTGTAAAGTTATTCAATGCAGTTATAGCACGTGATTGCAGCAAAAATATCCTCTTATCTTTTGTTATAGCAAATTCAATATCTCGTGGAGATCCAAAGAACTTTTCCAATATTGTTGAAAGCTTAGCTAATCTCAAAACCGTATCTTCAGACAGGCATAATTTCTTACGATTTTCTTCATCGAGTTCTGTTTCAGTTACAGCTGATGAATCGTCCATTTCTATAATATACTTCTTATCTCCCGGAATTGCTGCTAATAACTTAAATTCATCTCCTTTATAATTTTGCTTGATCAAATAAGTGTCTGGTTCCGATTTTGCAGACACCACAGACTCTCCAAGTCCGAAATTAGCTGTTATAACAATCACACTTGGATCTCCACTAAGGAAATGTCTTGAAAATAAAACTCCAGCACTTTCAGCTACAACCATTTTCTGGACAACAACAGCCATTGATGAATTTACAGGTTGAATATTTTGCTTACGATATAGTGTACTTTGGAATGAAAAGAGTGATGCCCAACACTTGACAATAGCTTCAAAAACTTCCTCATTCGTTTTGAGACCTAGGAATGTCTGGTTTTGTCCAGCAGCTGAAAGTTCTTCAGCATCTTCTGTCACGCCTGAAGATCGAACAGCAAATCGAGCTTGAAGGTCATAATTTATCTGCTCTAGTTTTGGAATCATGGCTTCTTTTAACTTGTCATCAATTTTTGTGGATGTAAATGCTATTTGAACTCTAACAAGGGGTTTACATAATTTAGATAAATATAAATCTGAAGATTAATAGATACTTACTTTTTGCAAGCTTCTTCCAAGCTCCCAACAGTTTTTTCATAAGCAATGTCTTCCATTTCCTTTAATGCATTGCTAATTTCAACATTATTCTTCACATGCTCATCAAAAGCTGATACACTGACCACGAAACCTTGAGCTACAAAGAAGTCAGGAGTGTCAACATCATTTGGGTCATGGAATATAGTTTTTGTAATTGATCCTGAACGTTGTCTTCCTGTTCTAGGCTGCTCACTTTCCATTAACTGCTTAGCTCTCATTGATCTTCGTAGGGCTGGGGTTGAAAGATTATCGACTAATGCGTTGAACACATGGAAACTTCGACTACGAGGATCAAGTAGATCTCCACCTACACAATATTGAAAATCAGCATCAAAACTTGTATGTTCGATTTAGTAAATTACCCTTGGATTCCTGAATTCTCCTTAGTGTAGCTAATGAACATCCTTTGCCGCCAGAAACCAAAACACTTTGAGCTTCCTTGTCAGCAAAAGAGAGGATCTGTTTTTCAGGCGATGGCAAATCATTACGGTTGAAAATTCTCTTAATCTTAGTTGGAATGTCTTCATATTCAAAATGACGAATATTTCTTGGGTACCAAAAGACAGCAACACCATATCCACGAACACAATTGCACACAATGTCTACAGGTACAACAAAGGCATTCCATTTTTCTCCTACATATCCACCAAATAGTGGAACTTTCTCATTGTTCTTAAACGTGACTACAGCAATGAATGAATGATCTCCAGCTTTGATTTGAACGATCGTTGCCTGTGGAAGTTTGTCTTGATATTCACCAAGAGATGCCAAGTGAAAGTCTGTCCATTTTATAGGCATAACATCACCATTACAGTTTCGAACGCTTCCAAATTGTGAGCTATAATAAGTTTTTTTTTATATTATTCAGCTTTAAAGTAATATCCAATGATCTTACTGAGTAACTCCAATTTTCGAACTGAATGCTCCGACCTCAAGAACAGTTCCATCCTTCATGCTGCCTATTATAACTCCTGTTCTATGAACATTTTCATTCTTATGAGGTCCCCAACGTCTCTTCCTTAATCCTGGTAAATTTAGCTCCTTAATTTCTGCTTTTGGTAATAGACCTTCCATATATGCATCGTAGTTCTTCTCATAAATTCTAACTTGTCCCCGGCATGCACCAAACTGATCATATCCTCCAGCATCATTAAGATTTATCAAACTACTCCATTTACCATCCCGCCATTTTTCTGTTGCTAAAGCACTTGCGATTAATCCCGTGTTCCATTCATAAGGCCAGAATGATGGGTTGCTTGCTGCTGTCCATCTGTAAAATTAATTAGGATGATCAATCCTTTGCCAAGTTAATTTTAACCCTAAGAGGGGATTAAGCCTCATTTTGACTTGATCATCAACAACAACAAAGTATAATTCATGTCCAGTGTTAATGAAACTTACATCAAATTGAGTTTCACAAACTGGAAATCACTCTCATCATCTGACAATGTCTGTGATATGCCTTTCCTTAACATTCCTGCATATGTGATCCTCCATCTTGAATATGGCACAAGACATTCTATTTTTAAGCCAGATCCTTCAAACATATTCGGATGTGCATTTGGAATTTTTGTGTGTGGATGATCTGATCATAAACAGAGAAATGTTATTTGTGAATCTAAAAATAAGTCATGATTGTTTTCTAACCAGGCAGTGTGTATGTCTCGAATTTATTATCACATTTAAGTCGTAAAATCATCCAAATTTCAGCAATTCGATGCTTGCGTCTGATGAATTTAATTAATAGAGAATTCCCATCATGATCAGTTCCAAAGATTTTCTGTGAGTCTGTGCTGTCCTCATTTGGAAGAAGCTTTGGTGTTTCGCTCTCATATTTTCTCAGTTCTTTAATGAACTTTAACTGCCGCTTTTTATTTTTATTGAGAACATACTCAGCATACATCTTTTTGAGGAAGAAATTCCATGCTAAAAAGAAGAATTGTAAATAAACAAAGTCCTCATTGCTCGATGGGTATGTGGTGGATCGAAAAATATTGATAAGAGAGGCTAATTGATAAGTACGGCAAAATTTCTACTTTGGACTTTGATTTTGTGTGCAAAATAAATCTGTATGGGAAATAAATGAGTTCCCATTATTGTCTGACAAACATTAGTGATGATCTTCGTTGAGAACAAAATTGTTCAAGGTTATTGGACAGTCGTTAGGAATAAATTAAAGTTAATTAAGGTTTTATATGATCACATTTAAGATTTACCGGTTATTTGAATTTTGAAATTTTCGAATCATTCGAAATTGGACAAAATTCAAATATTTTTCTAACGGATTTTTGAGAAATTTTAAAGTCTCCAAAAGTTACAAAACAACAGCCTCAAATGATATAACACAATGGTTTATAATGAAACCAATAACATAACAAGTTTAACAGCTTACCCGGCCGTGTATAATGATCTTTTGTCTTTTCTTTATTCTCCAAAATCAGCAGTCTATAAATGATAAATGTTATCGTCGCAACTGCCAAGACCTTCATGTAATATAGAAAGTCAATATACATGATTGATCCCCGATATCTTATCTGTCTATCAAAAAAAAAAAAAATAATTATTTTCAATGTTCTGGAGTGTTTTTTGTCTCTTGTCTCTTCAGATGTAAAATGTCGACTACTCGCTTGTACTCAATATCATTTAATTTTTCTTTCCATGTTCTCACATGCTTCTTGTTGTTTTGTTTTGGGTTCTCTCATTTTCTGCCAACTGCACGAACTCACAGATGATAAAGCAATTGACCAACATTTTCATTTTTTTGGGAGGCATGACATGTGTACTTGCTCGCTCAGAGCGGGTGAGCGATAAGATTTGTGAATGAAAAAAATTAAAAATAAAAACAAAAATTATGCAATAAGCGTAGAATGACTAATAAATTGGAATGTAACATGTGGTAGCAATGAAACTTTGATGGTATAGAATCATGTGTGACTGACTAAAGCGCTTCTTTTTGGAAACTGAAATGAATTTGTTTAGTGGAATTAAGGAACAGAATTTTATGATTTAAAACAAAAGGTTGAAGGCACTAATGTAGGAAAAAGGCATCAATAACTTTCGTAGTGTTGGAGATGAGTGGAATCTGACCATTATAAACTAAGCAAGTGAACTGATAATCCCTTTGTCCTCTGCGCTTTTATTATTTGCATTTAACTCAAATTAGCATAAAAATTGTACGTAATAATAACGGATCTACAAGGAAGTATCTTGGGAAATATCAGTAACAGTGAAGATAAGTGGTTATAAGTTCAAAGCTTCCCGCCAATTCATATGTTTTAAGATTCCCATAATCCAAAATGCTGAGATCATTCAAAACCAGACAATCTGCAGCTTCGAAATCTATAAAACTTATCAAAATTAATTCTCAAAAATATTTCTGAAAGCGTATAAGTCACGCGGTCCAAAGTTCACTCAAAAAAAAAAGACTAAAAGCTGCGTACGTGTGTTTGTGTAAAATTCTATTAAAAAAAACTTTATTAAATAATGTTTCAAAATTGCAGTTACATCAGATCTTGACAATTATAAAATGCTATAAGTACTTGTCATGACAACGACAACAACAAAAATAATATTCCAGCTTCACAATTGAGATTAGTGGAAAAGTAAACAGAGTACTCACACCTACCATTCGATGTATATGTGATGAGAATGTGTTATTGAGTTAATAATAGAAAGTTTACATTAACTTATGTCCAATAAAAAAAAAGATTTATTAACAACATATGCACTTGATAAGTCCGCAGCACACTGAAATAATCATGATGATCAATCCGACGAGAATACAAATCCCGAGCGGACTCTTAGCAAACACAAACCACTCGCACTTGGTTTCAATTGTTGAGAGATAAGATTCCATTTCCCTCTCTAATCGTCGATGATCAAAAACAAGTTCACTTCCAAATTTATCTCCAATTCGGTCATTTCTAAACATATCGACCATGCATTCGCGTTCTTCTAAACTCTTTTGTGGATATCTAACTTGAATGACCTTCCCAATCGCTCCATAAATAGCACTATCGATTATATCAGAGCTACAATAAGACATCAGGCAAATGCCTAAAAATGCTATCAAGATGCACTTCCTGTAATGATTTAGACATTTCTAACACTGATAAAATAAGAGAAATAATTAAAATACCTCATTTTTATCAAAAACAAAAAATTGACAGACAAAAATATAAACTTGTACGAATGCTTGAGTCACTTAAACACTATTGAGCAGCAACACTATAAATAGACACTAATATGATCTCAACGACGAATGTAAAAAAAATATATACTCAAGGAGAGAATTTTTGTATTATTCAAAAATTCGACAGAGACCGTTAAGCATAGTATATATAAGCTAGAGATGATTATGTGCGTGAGAGGAAATAAACACTGGATTTTTATTAGCTTCATTTAGGATTTTTTTTTTATTATTTTCTTATTTAATTTATCATCTTCAAAATGCCTCAAAACTCTTCATGGATCAAAGATAAAGTTTCTTATAACAGGGAAATATAGAACATGTACATAAAATTCTTTCACATATCATCGATTTTGGTAAAATTTACTTACTGCTTTTGCTGCTCATAGTCTTATCTTAATCATTTGAAATCTCATCAGCCATTTGCTTCAATTTCCTTTCGAATAGCTTCTTCGTGTCAATAAAACCTAGATGGAAGTTGATAACATTAGTTATTGTATAAAAGTTCTAAGCCAAATCATGACTTACCCTGCTTAGTCTTGCCGAAAGAATTAGGTCCTGAGGAAGTCGGTGTATCTTTTCCGATATTTCTCATACGCATTTTTGCTTCAGGTGGCATTTCTTCTTCAGGCTCACTATCCGCATTAAATACATTGCTGATTTTCGTACTTTTTTGTATCAATGGTGCTGGCTTAGCCGGAGTACTTAATTTTATCTGAATTCCAGTGGCTGGCTTCAATAAAGTTGTAGATTTAGTGAAATTCATAGATATTTTCGGTGCTGGTGGTGGATTTGTAGGCTTTTTATGATGTCTTTCATCTTCACTTGAATTACTGGATGATGATCTGGATCTTTTTTTGTAGTCTGACAAATTTGATGTTAATTCACACAATTTCATTATAAAAACCTGTTGAAAATGCACAATCATATATCTAGAGACTAATTACCTTCTCTACTACGATGTTTTTGATGGTATTTATCATCTTTTCTATCAATTGGACTCCTGGATCTTCGTTTTTTAGATACTAAAGATTAAACTTGCATTTCTGTTTAAAAATCATTGCGAAATAGCTATGAAAACTCACATTCAGATGAACTTTTGTAATGTCTATCCATTTATCAAACCGTACTCTATTTTACTGACTTAATTATAGGGATTTTTACGAGTTTAAATTGCTTGCTGAAAATTTATGAAAAAAATAAGGGGCTTGTAACTTTTCTGTCTGAAAAAATTCAAATTTCCAAAAACGTTATTTTTTGAACTTCAAAATTTTTATTAAAACAAAATTTCATATTATTTCTTCAAATTCTCATCAAAACCATTACTTCTTCAGACCTCCAATAAAATTTTCAATATCAAATTCTTCTGTATATTGATTATCATCCCAAAGTTCAGGCAAACTCTCCAAAATATTCTTTACAGAACTTCCACTTTTATTCGCTGACTTCCTATTATCATCATTTTGTTCAATCGAGAATAGATCTAAAAGCTGATCAGTTGCCATCGTTTCCATTGACTGATTATTTACTCCAACAACAGTATTTGCTGTAAGCAATTTGAATTTTTGCAAGCACATAATTTTCTCTTCCAATGATCTTCTTGTAATCAATCTGTAGACATTGACAACTTTCTTTTGTCCAATTCTGTGTGCTCTGTCCATAGCCTAATGGATAGAAATGTTAGCAAATGTTTGAATTGTAATTAAATATTTGACTTTACTTGTAAATCTTTCATTGGATTCCAATCATGTTCGACAAAGATGACAGTGTCTGCACCTGTTAAATTGAGTCCTAAGCCACCAACCTGTAAAGTAAAGGAATTAGATTAAATTGGCATGTCATGAGATTAAAAAATAAATCTCCAGATTAAGCTAATCCAACTTACTTGAGTAGTCAGCAATAAAATGTCGTATGAAGGATCATTATTGAATTTAGACACAATTTCATGACGCGAATTAGCGGGAACACCACCATCAAGCCGCAAATATGAAACCGTTGGCAAATGCTTCTTCAGGAGGTCATTTTCAATGATGTCAAGCATAGCTGTAAATTAACTTAATTAATTAATCATGCATTTGGTGACAAAATTCATTTAACATACATTTAAGCTGACAAAATACTAATGCACGATGCTGATTAACAGATATTTCGTCATTATCATCAGTTCCGATGCCGCAATCTAATAATAATTGCTTGAGTGCTGGCAATTTTGCTGAATGTTCAATTTCGTCTAATGACGTTTTATTGCGTTGCAAATCAGAGATAATATTTTGATATTCAGGATGATGTGGCTTCAAAACGAGTTTTGGATGATTGCAAACATTTTGTAGGTATCTAAAATCAAACAATTTTATGGTATTTAGTTACAAAACTGCTATTTAAAAATGTATATAATATCTTAATTACCGTAAAGCTTGAAAGACGTGTGTTTTCTTTGTCACATTCTCTTTTGATGACATATTATCGAGGCATTCTTGAAGATCTGTATTTAAATGCGTTTTACTGAAATCTTCATAAAGTCTTTCCTGTAATGGACTCAATTCACAAAGCAAATCCTGTGTGATCTTTGGTGGCAAATCTTTCAGCACATCCTCTTTAGATCTACGCAGTAAAAATGGTAAAACTTGTCGATGTAATGATTCCATTGCTAAAGCTCCAATTTCTTGCTCTTTTGCTGAACTTTTACCATCTCGACTTGCCAGAATTGGACGACTGTATTTCAGTTGGAACTGCTTTTCAGAGCCCAAAAATCCAGGCATCAAAAAGTCAAAGAGAGACCACAATTCTAAAACCTGAAAAAAGAAGTAAAATTAACTGTCATTAATTATTTGAAATTTAACGGATTTTTGAAACTTAAAATTTTTTGAACTCTGTACAAATATATTTTTAACGGGTCATTAAAGCATTAATTGATAATGACGCAACGTTACCTGATTTTGTATAGGTGTACCACTTAAAATTAATCGATGATTTGCTGTCAATTGCTTTATTGCCTTTGATGATTTTGTTTTTCCATTCTTGATTATATGACCCTCATCAAGAATACAATAATTCCATTGAATAGTCTGAAAAAAGTCGATATCTTTACGAACAATATCATAACTCGCCACGACTAAATTATGATATTTAATTTGACTCCGCAATCTTTCACGTTCAATGGGCAATCCATAATAATGAAGAGGCTTTAAAAATTGATTAGCGACGAATTTTTTGACTTCATAAACCCAATGTCCAGTTAATGTAGGCGGACAAATCACGATGCTTGGCAAATTAGTTTGTTTTTCAGTTTGCCTTTGATGATGATCGCCTGCGACAATACAAATTGTTTGAAGAGTCTTGCCAAGTCCCATTTCATCACATAAAATTCCATGAAGTTTGTATTTATTCAGGAAGTAAAGCCAATTAACCCCAGCTTGTTGATAACTCCTTAGAGTTGCATTAATTGTAACTGGAACCTTATAATCAGGTATATTCTTTGGTCGAAATAGATATTCTAAAAATTCTCGGTCCTTCATTTTCCTTTTCAACAGTTCCTCATTCAAATTTTCCTTTATATCCGGCGAATTACCATCCAAAGGCATCAATTGGATTAAAGTTGCAAAACAGCTTGTGGATATTAATCGTACAGGTTGATCTTGATCACTCATACGTCCTAAAACAGGCACAATCATCAGAACACAATAAGGAACAATGTTAAACTGTAATTTATTAACAATCGATGTTATTGCCTCAATAGCTCCTTCCCGATTTATTGGATTCTCAATTTGTCCTAATAATGGAATTAACGAGTCAATCACAAATAACATAACACTCTGTGAATCAATAGCCGCGAATGTTGCTAAGCATCTTGCTGCCATGTGACGAATCGCCTTTAATGGGTGCTGAATAAGAAAACATAACTTTGTGAGGCTTTCAAACAGTTCCTTATGCAAATCTTTATGTAAATGGGGCGCAGCAATCTCAATTAACTGTAATGATATTAAAATGTTTGTAGTCTCATCTTGTGGCATCAATTGACATGATAATTGTCTTATATATTGCTCATCAATTTTCGATAATGTATTAAACATTAATTCCCACAATGTTGGAACTCTTTCGCGTAATGAGGCACCGAAGAATTTACAAACACTCTCAATTGCAAATGTGGATCCAGTTCGCTGAATTTTGTTGAATTTGCGTATCTATGTAATAGTATAATAAAATGGAAATCAGTCAATGAATAATTGGATTGCGATGCATTAAATTACATCTTTGGAGGTTCCGAATCAAATTACATAAATTAAAATAGTGTTTGGAAATGCAGCAACTACATTGTATGTGATAGCAGCTGTGCATAAAAAATATTCGTTAATCATACAGTAAATCGTATCGCCTGTAGTGAAAGTGTGTTAAACGCTCAATGTTATGAAATTTGAATGTCAAGAGAAGTGTACACACACACTTTAGTCCATCCAGAACCTCCAAAAATAACAATGTATATTAAATTATATAAACTCACTGGATCATCATTGTCTGCTGCATTGTTTTCATCAATTGACAATTGATTTTCGATATTAGGAGGTCGACCACGCCCTGAAGATCCATTGTGACTTTCTCTAAACTTTGTTTGCTTGTCTAATGCAATGATTCCGTAATAAGCATTATCAATTACACTATTTGGCTTAAAATGCATTAATTCACGATCTGGAAAAATGAGCTTTGGTGTAAAGTCCTCGTCGGACTTTAAGAGAGTCGATAAATTAGTTAAAATTTTGACATTTGGTGATGGTTGTCTATCCGCTACTTGACACATTAAGCATGTGAGACTTTCAGCAGCCAGTCTTTGTAAAATGACATTTTCTTCACGCTTAATTGATTCCATTAAAGGCTTCACAACAGGATTCAATTTCTCGGGTAGACATTTCAATCTGGCGACAGCAGAAGCCAATGCTGATTGTGTGCTTATATTTAAATGCGATTGTTCAGTGCTGGTTATTGTATAAGAATTAAATAAACTCTTCCTTCGCTCGTCCAATAAATTTGCGATTTTGGTCTTTAAATTGAAGCGAACTTTGAGATTTTCCGTTGCTGTTGTACATAATTCCTTAATTTGATCCAATGTTAGCATATTTGTTCCTTCATATCCTGGGATTATTACTTTGTATTGCTTCATTGATGCTACAAAATCACTTGCTTCTTGTAAAAGTCTTGTGACCATTGATGCTATTTCATCGAAGTAAATGTATTCAGTTAGAGCTGATTTTAAGCGGTTCTGAAGCTGTTCATTTGTTGTGATTGATGGATTAAATTCGCCCCAAAATGTGATAATCATGCTGCTTATTAAGCGTTGTAATGATGATCGAGAACTCAGATATCCAAAAAGTAGCTTGCAGTAGCATTCCAGTGGACTTTCTGATGTGTTTGTGTAAACGACACCTGAATGAATGGAAAAAAAGTTTTAACGGATTTTGAATATTTGAAAATTAACGATTTTTGAAATTTGTTTTTTTGCTGCATTTTTTGAAGTTCAAATTTTGAGCTTCTTAATTTTCAAATTTCAAAAGTACGTAAAATATTATTATAATCTTATTTACCTGGTGCCGGTAAAACTAGATATTTGCTCAACAAACCGAGCATCCGACATGCTTTATATCTAGCTCGAATGACATTTTTCTCACGAGTATCCTGAGGGATCGTTTCTAAACCTCCAAGAAATGCTTTTTGCATTGGCATCGAGTCACAAACTAAACGATTGCTTTTAGCACTAATTAGTAAATTTGGATCAAAGGCGAGTCTAGCTGGTTGCATAGCGAGACACATAAAGCATGATACAAATGGACAGGCAGCATGAAGGAGTGCTGACAAATCAGCATTCATTACAATATTTCTCCAGACATCCTCGACGAGGCATTGGATGTCCTCAATATGCTCTACTAAGACTCTCTGATAAATGTGACGAAGTGCTTCTTGAAGTAAATTTGGTGGCCATGATCTCACGCCAAAATTAAGGCATAAAGATGGTTTTCCATCATCATTGACATCATTTTTGTTTTTCTCAATAACTTGATTATTTGTCTCGTCCGTAAGTTTCTTTAAAGTCTGAAGAGTTGAACGTCGAACACTGCTTGATGGATGACTCAAAAAAGGCCATAAACGCGGTACTAAATTAACCATTGGTTCCATTTCAATCCACTGAGATGCATTTGGTAAACTTAAAATAGATGCCATTGAAGCCATATAGGAATTACATGCGGCAGCTAATTCATCTTGATCTAGTAATAAATCCCACAGCATTTTAACGATGCATGATACTTGTTGATGAGTTAGCAACTTTGGTAAATAAGACGATATAGGAATTAAGGAAGATGCTGACACAGAGCTTACATCATCGACCGTATCAAGCAACCCATCGAGAATATTTTTGATGACAATTGGCAAAATTGTAGAAATTAAATCTTCACGTACTACGAGCATATACTTAATTCCTAGTAATCCACTATGTCTTACTTCCCAATCATCATGTTTTACGAATTTCTGAAGAATGTCAATGACTTTAAGAACTAAACTTGTATCCATTTCCTTTAATATTGTTGCTAAAACTTGCGAGCAAGTTTCTCGAACTGGAGCAACAACTTGATCTGATACAAAATCACCAAATCGATCAAGTGCCAAGACACAAAGTATTCTTAAAGCTATATCTTCAAGCCATTTATCATGTGATACATTTTGTTCATCACTTGCCATAAAGACACTCCGTCCACCACCTTTTATGTGCGTTTTAAGCAATTCGCGTAATGCAGTTGCTGATCCGTGCCTTACTTCCCATCTTACACTAAACAAGTCAATCAGTAATTTTGAACAGAATGATTCTAATGGCCAGTCAATAGCATTTTCTGTCCATGTTCCTGTCAAATCTGGTGTGGGTTCATTCTCAAAGTATTTAACATTAAGCTCTGACTTGATTTTCTTCTTATCTGGCTCATCTTTAACTGAATTTGTCCGACTTAATGCTTGATTTTGACGTGCTTTACGCTTTGCACGATTTATCTCACGACTACTCATTGCAACAATTGATGATTGCTGACTAGATGATGCTTGATTAATTAGAATATCCTGAACATTAATCTTGCTTGTCTCATTTTCAGTCTTGATTTGTTTCATTGGAGTCATATCTTCAAGCGTTACCATATCATCTAAATTTATGCCAAGATTCTTGGCGGCAGCAAATCCAAGCTTCTCATTTAATGCTTCCCGTTGTTTAATTAACATTTCTTTATTATCAATATTTTCTTCCGCAAAGTCAAATTCACGACCTTCACTTCCCATCAAACGAGCTCCTTTCTCAAGGATTAAACTCAGATTGAATTTCTCAAAGCTTAATCTTGTTTCTAAATCATTGCTTTCATTGATAATTAATGGATGTTTTGTAGATGATCCATTTGTCTCAGTCTCTTCTTTCTTAATAACTTGAACACGTTCATTTGGATCCCATTGAGGAACATTCTCAAGTATAGCTTGAACAGCTTGCGTTGCGGCTATTCTAGTGTCCCAATTTTGTGAATGGATGAAGACAATTAAACGACTCAGTAAATTATGTAATTCGTGTGGATGTAATTTCTGAACTTCGCCAATTTGCTTTGCTGCTGCCTTTCTCGTTACTGCAGATGATCCAGACTCAAGCAAGATGAACAAACGATCCAATCTATAAAGATACAATTGTTTATGGCTATTTAATTAGAGAGTTAAATGTTTGTTATTTACCGTGATGTCATCTTTTTTGTTGATTCGACTCGATGTCTGGATTTTCCAATATATCAAATTACTTTCTATCGATGCTACGTCTTCAATTTATTTGTATATACTCTGTAGATTATAAAATTGTAGTTATATTAAGCAATTAATGATTATTTTCATTAAAAACACATTGAAAAGTGGCGAATGTTTACATTTTTTGCACTTTCTTTGTTCCTCTTTCATATTATTTTTTTAAAAAATTGCGTAGTTATTTCGTATTTTATTGAATGAATAGAGCGTTAATGAATAGAACCAAATAGAACAAACAGATGTATGTAGGAACTTTAGAAACATTTCGTGACATTATCCGGTGACATTTCTAAAACCGGAAATTACTGGTCATATAAATTTTAAAATTTATTACATTAGAAATACGAGAAAAAACTACACAATGAAGCTGTCCCAAATTCCCATTTATTAAAGCGTTTTAATACTTTTTTGATTGGGAAACGACATACATTGAGTGATTTCATTCTTGAAATTGATATCACATTTAATGAAATTCATTTACTCATGCTTAAAACTTGATTTTTATAAATTTTCATAAAACGTGATTGCAATGTCAATTTTCAAACATTTGAATTTGAAAAAGCCGTTAAATTGTTATCGCAGAAACAGTATAATTCATTAATTGCACTCCCATAAACACACCTCTGTTGATTACTTTCATAATTAATGAGTCAATTAATAACAAAATTCCATCACATCTAATTGTCATTTACACGAAATGATGAGCTTATCGAAATTAGGAATCAATGCCCTCGAACATGATGAATATCTCAAAACAAAAAATTAAAAACAGCTTATTCATGATATATATTTAATTCCGTCAAATAACACAGAATATGACAAATTACTCGCTGACGACAAAAAAGTTTACATTTTTTGGCCATGCTGCTTCTCTTACACAATTGAGAAATTGATTGTATGGACGAGGATGGTGTGCATGTATACAGAAAGTGGACAAAAGTCAACTCGATTGATTAAAGCTTCTTCATGACTTTATTTTTTGTAGTATTTGTATACATAAAAGTGCTGATTTGTTTTATTGATTAGCTTGCTTTTGAGGGTTTCTCGGTTTCAAGACTTGATTTTGTTAGAATGCATTTTGAACTTTTAAGTTGAATGCAGAGTTTTCGTTACAAAAAAATTTGAATTGCTTAAAAAAATCGATCAAAAAATTCAAATTTCGTAAAACCGTTAGATTTTAAATTTCAAAAATCTTTCAAAATTCAAATTCCAGCAAATCGTTAAAATTTTCAGAAATTAGGAAATTTCTACTTAAATACCAACATCCATTTAGTCATTCATTCATCATTTTTATCAATGTCAATTCAAAGACCTGTTATCGGTGGCAAGAATGTTCGATAAAAATGTGAATATTCAATGAACGAAAGCAAAAAACTCATTTTTTTATTCACCTTTTCTACGTGCTTTATGGGTCAGCGCTATTAAAAATGCTGTCATTAAAAAGATTATATTTTAAAAATATTTTTTTAATATTTTCGTGAAATTAAATGACAAGAGTATGAAATATACAACGAAAAACATTCGAGTTGACCTTCATGAAAATAATAATGTGATTAAATGATGATGTAGGTACATAATATACTTCATTTAATGTATTCATCGAGCCAAATTTTTTGGACTATCTTCTTTAATGTGATAACTGGTATATAGGCTACATTCCAGATATATTCTACAGGATTTTATGTTAATTTTTTGTATTCATCTAAAATATTAATTAGTCAACTGATTCCTGACATTTCGCAGCTTAGACTCTAGTTTCTAATTCAGCTCTCAACCGTCATTTGAAATTTAAATTAAGTATAAATGCAGAAAATCACTGAATCTGAAAAATTGCAAAGCTCTTAATTGACACTTGTCGTGTCTAGACGATGGTTATACTTTACTAATAGGATTAAGACATAATTCAATTACCTACTTAGAACTGCTTTGTTCTTTAAAGAAAGTTCATTACTGAATAAATTTGAATTTTTGAAAACCGTTAAAGTTTGAATTTTTGAAAACGGCTTTAAAATTACAAAAGGTATGCTGCAAAAAAACTCGATCTAGACGAGAAATTCCAACTGTAAGCAAGAAAGATATTTTCTCGTTACTTTCGTCACTCCGCCTTCGAAGTCTTAATAGCTTGTCTAAGAAAAATCTAGTCTCCATTAATAGTGTTTAAATGTCTACATGATAATTTTTAGTTCTTTGCATAATCTATTTATAGACAATCCAAACCAATTATCATCTCACGATTATTTGTGTGCTAGCGAACTAGAGGAAGAAAGAAGCCTTTCGGCACATTCCATATTATTTCATCTATTTTGTGTGCATGCATCTATTATTATTTCGCGAATATTCATTGTCATGCATGACATAAATAAAGCACGTCAAGATGTAACATGGAAACGAGAAAGAAAATCCCTTAAGCATGAATCTTTTATTGACATTCCGTTAAGTCTTTCGCTGTGTGTTATTTATGCATGTTGAGGCATCTTCGATTGGATGATGCATATGAGATTGAGATTGTGGGTTCTAGTCATTAAATGTAACCAAAATTAGGAGTCATGAATGTGAAGATTTTCAAAATATTCAAGGACTTTAAATTGTCAGAATTGTGTGGATTTAAGTATAGACTTAAAATAAATCTTACGATTAAAATTAAATCTAAGGATTAAAATAATTTGACTCGAAAATTAAGTTGCAGCCATCAAACTAAACAATCAAGTTCTCAAACCTGATCTTGTTTGCACAACAAATTCCTTCCAATTCTCCGATGCATACATAACAGTATGTAAATCAAGGAAATCAAGAAACCCTACCCGAACCCCGAAAGTTGTAAAAATGAAAGGAAATTGGAGAAGCTAGCTAGCCATCTGCCTTTCTAAGAAGTTTTTATTTTTTGCCATTTATGCATGTATTGTATATATTTAGTTTTATTATCTATCATATTCGCAAGCACCTCAACATTTACGTGCTGCTGCTGTAGATGTAGGTTTTGATGTTATTAATAAAAAAAACACACACGAATGAAGCTATTGTGTATATACACAGCTTGAGGCAAAACTGCAAATAACCCCCAGACAATTTTTTAAAAAGATTATAATAAAAACTCGAAAGAATTCACGAATATGAGGATAGGAAAGGAAAAAATCGATAGTGAACTTTTTTTTTCGAAAAAAAAAAATGTTCATAGCTTTAAAAAAAATTCGAGGAAATACCGTAATTTCACGGCACTTAATGCCACATAGCCATAAAGATCTAAATCATTTCTAATCAGTTCACCACAATTCAATATTTAATCGAGTCCCCAACTTACCCAAAACAGTGTCTGAAATTATCTAATAAAAGTCGTATTCAAAATGTCGAGCAAGCGTCTAGCGAAACTTAAAAATTCCATAAAAAATTCATTCCTTGATTCTCATTTTCAATAATCATTAAATCATTTATTTCATCTGCCATTTGTGAGAACATTGAGATCTAAATGGCCATAACTTTTGTTTTAAATTCCAATTCCTCTCTTTCTGCACCGCACTTTCAAATCACTTTTTTAATGCCTTTCAATCGAACACTCGGTTTCTTCACAAAATTCACTAAATTTAAACGAAATTTTTTAGATTTCCGTCTCATGGCTTTTGCTTTATATAGTCGAATGAATACGGCTCACTGTGGACGGTCTGTTTTTGTGCCGAACTGCTTCATTATGGGGCATGTAACGTCGTTTTTGCATCTCACTCTTTTATGTTTTCCTTTTTAAGTCGCTGTGTCTGCATCTTTTAAGATCTCCTTTGAGTGCGAAGGAATGATTGCAAATTGCACAATTAAATAGCTTCTTCTTCTCATGTTGTGCCTTAATATGTTGCTTTAAGCCATGCTTCATTTTAAAAGATTTATCACAAATATTGCATTTATGCTTGGATTGCCGGTGTGTCGCATTTTTATGTTGATAAAGATTCTTAGATCCTTTAAATGTCTTATTACAAATTTTACAGATGAATGATGTCCTTCGTGGCTTCCTTTGTATATTTTTAATCCTTTTCTCTTTCAATTCTGTCAGAAATTTCGTGTAATTTATCTTTACAGCCTTCATGTGCTGAATGTTTGTCTTGCAATTGAATCTTTTATGGAAATTTAAACTTCTTTTTGTTGTGAATCTTTTCCTACATAGAGCACAATGATCTCTTGCCATATCCTTACTTTTATGCTTTGTTACTTTATGCAGCAAAAATTGCTTGAATGAATTAAATTTCCTTTTGCAGCAAACTTTTTTTATATGAACTAGTTCTTGTGTAGATGACGGTGTAATAGACCTGCTACTTTGTACTTGAATATCCTCATCAAATTCAGTTTTTACATTATTCCCGTGATTTGATTCCTTTACATAATTATGGTCGTGCATGAATATTGTGGATATATAGACATAATTCTTAATTAATTCGAGTTCATTTTCACCGTCGTCCTGATCATTAATCTCAACTTTTAACTGCTTTGGACTTAGAATTTGGATCTCATCTTCTTCATAACTTGTGTCATTCACTATATTCTGTTCTGATATCTCACACGTTAATGCATTTGTTTCAAATGGAAGAAAGTTGAATGGCTTAATGTCCACAATCTCTAGAATCTCACATTTCTTCTGATTTGTACTAGTTCTATTCGTTTGAAGTGCTAAATGTTCCTCAAAATTCTTTGGTGCTAGCATTGGAACATGCAAATCATCTTCAATTAACGGTTCTAGTTTAATACTTCGCGGAATTTCATCAATTCGTCTTATTGGAACTTCCTGATTCAACATATTTTGTGCGACAATCACACGATCAATAAAACTTGAGAATGTATTTAAAATCTCATTGCATTCATAGCAGATTTTCTGCATTAAGCTTAGATTAAAATTTACAAACGGAAGACACTTTCTCATTATCGAGAAGTTATTGTCATCAATTAGAATTAAGGATCTTTCTCTTGACAAAGTCCTGCAAAGTCCACAAAACTCGTAATTCTCAGTTTGTTCTTCTTCAACAATTATCACTGGTGGCATTTGATACACTTGCCTGATGTTTATTAATGGGATTGCATGCCTTTTAAGTGACTTCCTTGAATTTGCACCATTCTCAAGAATATCTGTAGCTTTAAAGTGCTGAGAACATATCGAAGAGAATTTTGTAATTTTACGGACGACATTATCGCTGTCCTTTGATGCATTCTTAACAAACTCAATCCATTTCTCGCAAACTTCTTTGTTTTGAAATGGAAATCTACAATAATTAAGGAAATCAGTGATTATTTATTAATTGATTAAATTAACCTACTTGTGAAATGAAACAGTATCTCCAATTTGCTTGACCCTCTTACAGACACAACATGCTGATGGCATTGTTCCTGGATTTATTTATTATCTATGACTGATAAATAGATGTTGTTTGTTTTGGTCAACTAAGGGGTGTAAAACTACCATTTGTTTACATCTCGAAAGTTTGTATGAATGAAATTGAATATTCACACCTAATTAGACGTCCGATCAGCTGTTCCTTCGCATGTTGTGCTTCTTTTGTTGTTTTTTCACTAATTGCGATGATTTACTGTGTCTAGTTCAGGGCGATTCCATGAGTGATTTTTTTTTTCTCAACTCAATTTTTTGTAAATATTTCCTTAATTAACTTCATTTAACGCCATATTTAAGATTTATTTTATTTATTATTATGGTATTTATGTATTTAAGTGCATAATCTTTTAGTTAAATCTGTCTGACAAAAGATATTTTAAAAAAACCAAACTTAATCGGTCAACTTTACGAAAAATTGATTTTTAAATTTTCATCAATATTTCTTCGAATATCCATTGTTGTGTTACAAATCTATGATAAACACACGTGAAATCGTCTGTGCTTTATAACAATATCTTATTTGTATGTCTTTCTACTGTAATTAAGGAGAAAATTGGGGAAAACACCACTTAATCGGTCAACTTTCAACCGATTATTGCAAAACATATTACATATTTTTGTCAAAATGCAGCATAATTAAGACGATTAAATGCTAATAACACATGAATTGATGAATAATAAGTCTTATTTAGTGAAAAGATATGTTGAAATATGTATATTTAAGCAGAAAAAGCTAAAAAAGTTTTTGAAAAAAAAAATTTCAGTTTCATTTACCCATGGAATCGCCCTTCAGTCTATTTTGGCTAAAATTTAATTAATTCAAGTTTTTTGTGTCAATTAAAAACTTGCGTGAATAAAATTCAAAAAAATAAAATGCGTTACAGATAATAACAAAACTTTGTTAAATCACAATTTGATTTTGGGATTTTGATTTTCATTTAAAACTCAAAAAACTCCCCAACCTTTACAAAATACAGTAAAGTACAAAACATACAGTAACAAGGTGTGAATATAGAAATAGATTTTTAAAAAAGAATTTCTCTTAAATTTTTATTTCTACCATTTAAAAACTTCTAAATCCTGCTTTAATTAGTTCATTAAATGTCGTGTGAAATCAATATTAATGCTTTTGTTAACAATCTCGATGATATTCAGTCGTTCTTTGGATTAAATGGAATAACTGGTAAATTCTTTGTTATCATTTTTCATGCTTAAAACTAGCTCATTTATCAAATTTACAGATAAATCATGGCTTAATGGAATTTTTATGAGTTATCATAGTGATACATTATGCATGGGCTATGGATCAAAACTCACCATACTATCATCTTATTATGATAAGGAACAACAGCAAAAAATTTATTCAAATTTAAAGAAAATCACTTTGGATGATGAAAATCAATTAATCACTAACTCCTTAACATTTCAAGTAACTGGAGGTAGTAATTATGTTGACTGGACATGTATAATTATTGGATTAAGCACTGGAGTTCTTCAATTTTATGCTGATAATGCTTCATTACTTTATGAGAAGCACCTGAACAATGAAGCTGTTCTGAACATTAGAATAATTGGCGACGAGTTAACAATATTCTATCAATCATGTATAATTGTGTACCCAATAAGCCATTTGATCCCATTGCTGAAAAGTTTAAAGGAAATGTTCAATAGAGCAAAGACAACTAAAATTGATCTTATGGACAAAGATTACATGGTCATGTATAAGAAATGGGACTATAAAACTAAAGAACTACTCATTTCTGATGCATTAATGATACCACAACAGAAGATATGCCTGTTTGATCATTTAGTATCTGAAGGATTAGAGCTTGGATTCACGAAAAAGTATCGAAATACACCAACTCAGAATGCCACTGTGATTTCTACTGGTTCAAAACCATACATTAATTTCCATTCTGCAAGAGAAGGATTTAAGCAGCAAGGTGTCTTGCAGGATGTCGCAAAAGCTTTAGCAAATAAAATCACATCAAGATTACCGTAAGTTTTTAACGGCTTTTAAATTTTTTTTGTTTGAAAACCATACAATTCCAACCATTTCACTAGAGTTTGTAAGGTTTTTAAACATTTTAAAATTAATTTAACCGTTCATTAACAAATATTGATTTCAATTTAATCACTTAGATCGTGGCTAACAGGATCTCAACAACCCCAAAGTTCTGACAAGTCTGAAGCAAATGAATCAATAAGTGAGACTTTATATCCAAGACATGAGTTAGTTGATTATCAACGAACAGGATGCAATATTTACATGAGTCCAATAAATTATCAAATAGCAGCAGTAACTGATACATTAGGAAGAATTGTATTGATTGATATTGCAAAAGGAATTCCAATAAGAATGTGGAAAGGATACAGAGAAGCACAATGTGGATTTATTGAAGTGAATGAAGGATCGAAATCGAGGAAAGAAAATAATGAAGGAAGAAGGTGTGGATTATTTCTTGTTATTTATGCACCACGTAAAGCAATTATAGAAATTTGGTGCCTTCAAAAAGGACCAAAAGTAGCAACATTTCAATGTAGCAAGCACGGTTTTCTACTTTATGATAATCATTTGACAGACACGAATCAACAACATAAATCAAGGCACAATAAAATTGCATGCTTATTCTTTGATGCAACTGACAATTGCTTAAAGACATTTTCCATTCCATTTCATTGCATTTTAAGTGAAGGCAATTCCAAAAGTGCTGAAGATTTTCATCATTTAAAGCGATTAAAAATGAATTTAAAGAATATTGACTTACATGACGAGGAGGCTGTACATGCTGGCATCATGCAAAATATTGAGAAAATCCAAACGCCTGAAATCAAGATGAAATGTCTCGAATTAATGACAAATTATAAGAAAGTTAATCCACAAATACTTCGTGATGTAATTGACATTTTTGAGTCTAAAATGGAAGAGCACGTACAGGATGTACAGGAAAGTGATGAGGAACAGCATGAAGGAGAAATACAAGATGAAATTTACAGGAATCAACTTAGTGCATCTTGTGATAATTATAAGAAATTAATTGAATGCTATGTCCTGGCTACATCCGATTGTCAAGATGAATGCTTGAAAAATGAGACAATTGAGTTAATGGAGAATGAATATACAACAATGCAGCGATTAATTGAATTAATGAACATCAGTAAAAAGAGTAATTCAAGTACATCCAGAAATGTCACATTTGAGGATACAAATATAAAAGATGAGTCAATTGTGGCATTTTTGGGATCTTTTATAGTCACTGAAAAGGATAAAATCCCTTTAAATACCGAGCATTTGGATAATCATTACGATATAATCGGTTCCGTACTATTTACACACGTCTGGAAAGAAAAATTGCCGACCTCAAAACTTGCTAGAATCTTCGAATTAATCAATATTTCTAGTGAGGAAGTCATGCGATGTTTTTTACATTTCTACCTTAAACAAGTCACTGATTTCACGACTGAGGACAGCGTTCTAGCAGACATGACAAAATTCAAAGTTATTCTAGATGAAGTGTGCAATTTTGCAGGCGATAAGGTGACTCAATATGCTTATGACTCAATTTGCATTTATTGGCAAGATGTTCGTGAATATTTATTAGAAAGTAATAATCCAATTAATGGATTATTAGCTGCTATAATTTGCAAAATATATGCATTAAAACAAGTTCAGAATACAGATGAGGCTAGTTTTGAGCAAGTCACGCAAGAAGAATGTCAGTGGATCCTGTTGACTGAGAAGCTAAATGATGTAGCTGTTCTGTCCATTTTTATCAGGCATTTTGCTAGTAATCAAGTTCAGAAGGGAAAGTATGAGATGCCAAGCATTTCTTTGAAGAAAATTTTGAATGAAGGCAAAGGTTAGTCACTTTAATTATCTTTTTTGTATTTTTAACGGTTATTTAAAATTTGAAAACTTTAAAGTATGTTAAATTGATGAAACTGAAATTTTGAATTTGAAAAACCGTTATAAATTTCAAATTTCACCGAACCGTTAAATATTAAAAAATATTGCTCCCTAAATTATTAATCAACTTTTAAATCCCAAACAGGAATAATCAGCGAACTAGTTGCGCAATGGCTTATCCACACAAACTTATCGATCGACTTAATATTCAAAAATTCGACTGACGAAAATCTCGAGGCAGATGAAAGAGATGTCATAAAGAAACTGGAAATACTAAAGATACATTTCCCATACAGTCTCGATCCTTCCATAATTTTGTCACAACTGATATGGATCACAATGTCACATTGGTCAAAAAACTTGTCTGAAATTCATTATCTCAAAAGCAGCATTGAGTATTTGAATCTGTTCAAAGAGACTGAATATCATTTGAAGCATGGACTTTGTGTGATGTTATGGAACGGAAATTTCAAGATTCCACTAAAAGCGACCCAAAAGTTGATTAATAAAACTGGAAGATTACCAAAGGAGAAGTTATGTCTGCAAAATACAATGATTCCTGATTTCTTAATTCCACAGTTCCTTGAACAGACTTTAGTCTTCATTAATCACTTCCAATCGTCTCGGAATTTCAACATGTTGACTTTCAAATGTGAAGAAATATTACAACAAGGATCGGCATCAGATCAAGCATCACTTTGTGAATTAATTTTACAGCAAGCAGCCGGAAATTCAACACTTTTGACCCTCCACTATGAAATGGTGTCTATATTGGAACTTATAGCATTTTTAAATATCAAATATACAAAACCAATGCAATCATTATTTGACGAAATGTCAAACGAGTCATTCTTTATGGATATTAATAAGCCTTTGACATACAGCCTTCAAAAAGCAGACGAAATAAGGCAAAACACGAGAATCTTTTTCCTCAAAAAAGCCATAAGCTGTACGATTGATTTGATTGTTGAATGTCAACAAAGTACATATTTTGATGATCACATCAAATGGATTGAGAAAGTCAAAAAAGTTGGGCATCTTTGGGATTTGGACAGTGGATTGCTTGATCGTCATCATGTAAGTTTTATGATCCATACTTGAATTTACTAACCAGATGATCTATAATTTTTGTTCATAATCAGGTTCTTGAACTGTATGTCTACGGCTACGATGAACTAGCTGCTGATCTATTCGAAAAAGTATCAGAACGTGAAAGAATTATCAAACAACTTCTAGACATAGCTGCAAAAAGACTTAATTTATATCTGTCAAACAATCGTGGTGGATGGAAACAAGTGGCTTCTGGTGGATCATTGCTCACAAATTATTTAGAGACTATTCAAGCACGAAAAGACGACGCATTGCTTGATCATGTTCGATCATCAAGTATTGATCATTTATACAGACTTGCTTACAAGATTTTCGAAGTTGCATCGTCAAATAAGAACTTTAGCGATCCAAGAGCTCTTCGTCTTGCAGGTCAATTGCTAGATACTAGCCTTTTACTGAAAAATGAAAATTAATTATATTATGAATTTTTATGCGCCTTAAAAATACCTTTTTTAATGTTTATAAAATATCTTTTCTTCTCTCCAATCTTGTACGGTTAGTTCCATATAATTTACACGATTTCCTTCTACTTCCAATAGTAATAGCATTGTTGCAATCATAAATAAATTAATTTTAATAAAAAGGGAGACATATGCGCATACAAACATTATAATAATAAAAGAATTTGACGATTTAAAAACTCTTTTATGTGTATTTTGTGAATACATCCTTCAGAAATGATGTTGTGGAAGTTGTGGACGCTGATGATGTTGGAACTGCTTGGTCGGTTTCTTTTAAAATTCGGTTCTTTAACAATTTTATTTTACGCAATCTTTCTAGCCAATTATTGGCATATGGGCTGATTTTTGGATTCTTCAACGATGTGGATACTAGCGAAGCCATCTATATAGTGGAAATAATTAGAAATGTAAGAAAGAGTTAAGAAATAAGCTTAAAAAATTTAAATCCGGAAGATTATAAATAAATCCATCGGATTAAAAGTCAATCTTACATTAGCATGAAGCGCAAGCTGTCTCGCAAGCAGTGGAGCACCACGATCAGATATAATCTTCGGTTCCTGATGTCTAAAATAGTCTTCGATGTCTCCTTTTGCTCTAATTGATATTAAATTTGATCCCATTTCCAGAGGTTGTACAATAATACATGCATAATTGAATTGACCCTATTAAGTCATAAAAATAGAATTACATCGTTTATTTCTATTAAAAATAAAGCTTCATGTCAATTACCTTAATTGTATTAAGATTGTAGTCTTCGCCGCTTTCATTGTAGACAATTGTTGCAAAATCATTTCCGATGTATTTCTTCTTTTCATTACAATTAGGATCTGATTCGAGGGTTGGCCTGAATTGGGTTTAATTGTTTAAATTAGATTATTCAAAGGATTATTCTCAGAAAAAAACCGTTAAAATTTACATTCTACACACCGTTAAAAATTCAAAATCTACAAAATCGTTTAAATTCATAATCTACAAAACCGATAAAATTCAAATTTTACAAAACCGTTAAAAATTCAAAATCTACAAAATCGTTTGAATTCATAATCTACAAAACCGATAAAATTCAAATTTTACAAAACCGTTAAAAATTCAAAATCTACAAAATCGTTTAAATTCATAATCTACAAAACCGATAAAATTCAAATTTTACAAAACCGTTGAACTAAAATTTTACAAAACCGATAAAGTTAAAATCTTAATAAAAATAACAATAAATATCAGATAATTATCTTGAAAAACTTACATCAAAGTAGCAACATGGAAAGTCATTTGAATGATGTCGTCATGCCATACATAAGTGAAATTTCCTTCTCGTTTAGCCTCCATATTGACAAAAAGTTTCTTCTCTTTTGCATCCTTAATTGCTATAAGAGTTCCAAGATTTTGTAAGAACTGCATATATCTAACACTTCCATTAACATTTCTCAATATTTCTGACTCGTTATTAGCTTGTCCAGGTTTAACATAAACGACTCCAATTTTGTGTATTTCATAAGGTGGAATTAAATCCAAAAGATTCAGCGTTCCCATATGCTTTTCACCAACTAGTAATGGCTTATCAGCTCCTATATCCATTTTACCAGTATTAAATAATTGAACAAAAATGAAACTTGGACAAATTCCAGATGTAGCTACTGGCTGTGATTGTTCAATTGATGATGTTGAGACTGAAAAGTCTGAATTCTTAGATTGATTCTCAAAAACTTCTTTGTTTCTTCCAATAACTGAAATAGTTTTTGATCTTGCACGATAAGCATTTCCACCGTCACTTTCAAGTGGAACTTGATGACTTACTTGACGACTTATTGTTACTTTATATCTGGGTGATAATGGTAAATTACTGGATGATGCTGATGTCCATTCTGGATTCTTTAAAGTTGTATGTATAGGAATAATAGATCCAGTTGACATTGTGTCTGATCTTCTTAATTGAATTGTGTCATCTGCTGAGTGCTGTTTCTTTGGAATATTCGTGACATTTGGCGTTTCCTGTGCTGATATTGATGACAATAATTGAACAGGTCTGTGACTACTTAATGTCTCTTCCTTATGTCCAGAAGTGCTGATTTCTTCAGGAATTGCCTCACAACTAACTTTAGTTTCTTTCGAATAGCTTGATTTCTTTTTCTGTTGAATTTCACTGACTTCTGTTGTATTTTTCTCATCCTGTTCATCAGTCACAGTTGAACTTGATCCCGACTTGCTTTCTTTTTCACTTCTTTGTGCCTGTTTAGCCATATTTACTTTCCAGTTTGATCTCATTTCTGGCGATGAATTTACTCGTCTTACTGGATTTCTTTTTGGATCGTCAGAATCATCGTCATCGTATGAAATATCATCTAAAACAACACCAGGTTCAGGTTCTGATTTAGTTGCTGGGATATTAATTGGTTGTGAAACATAACTGAAGACTGCTGAATCACTCGCTGTATGGTAAAATTGGAATAAAATTAATAGATTTATTACATTTTTAACGGCTATTTATATTTTAAATATTTTTTGAACCCCGTTAAGAAAAATTTAAAGTTCAAAAAACCCGTTACAAACTTTGAATTTCTAAAGACCGTTTAATCAAAATTGTGCATACCTGTAGATTGAAGTGGAATCTTATACATTTCCTCGTTTATAGATAATTTCTTCATTAATGCTAAATGTTCGTCCGATTTTGATTCTTCCTCCTTCTTTTTCCTTACTAGTACACCGTTTGGATTCTCAGCATCGAGTTCATATTCTGATAATAATCCTTTTAAATCATGGAACGAAAATTCATTTGCAAATTGACCGACTTGATTCTGAAACTTCATCATCCATGATAGCATGCCAGTTGGACGTCGAATTGATATTTCAGCCCAATCAGAACAATAGCATGAACAGCTTGCCCAATCGTGATTATCCATACATGCATTCGTAGTTATAGTAACAACGACATGTCCAACAATCCAAGTTTTCGACTGTCCACCACCTCGCAATAAATAGTCACTATTCGGTAATCTTGGCAGTGCCAATGATAATGAATATGTATGACGAGTCATAAAGTCTATACAAGTCTCAATCAACTCAATATGAAAGCTATGCATGTCAAATGTTGTTGATAAGTTTTGAAGTGCAGCACGTTGTGCCTTCATTTTCATGATTTGTGGATTATTAAGTTCTTTACGTCGATTAGATTGTTCCGTTAAACTTGAGCTTCTTTTTCTGAGTGATGAATCCTCATTAACTAATTGTATAACGCCTTTATTAGCATCTTCTTGAATGTGTCGTTGTAGCTGCTTAGCATCCTGCATAGATTTGTCAATATTCTTAGCAATTCCTTCAATTATATAATCAGCATATTGTTTGCGCCATTGTAGACGTGATTTAAGGAACCAACTGGAGATGATGTGATGAGCAAGTGACACAATATAATGATCATAACGTGCTGGACTTGTGTAAGGCAAACAAGTCGCAAATACATATGAAAATTGCTTCTGATTGAGATTAGTAAATGAATATGGTAAATGTGCGATTGTGGACATAAATTCCAAAATTGGAAGTGCAACATGAACTGTATCGGAGACTTTAGAAATGGCCAATACAATGTCAGCAAGCTGTCTTTCAAATATATCACAACGTTCCATTAATAATGTTGTAAAAGCTTGTATGCAAACACTCAAATTTCCATCCATTCTCACTTCCGATTTAAGAATTTCGACAATTTTCTTCTTTGTGATTGTTGTGAGAAATGAATTGTATGTGATTAAGCTTGCAATAGCTGGTATGACTAATGCACGAAAGTCTTTTTGCTCATTTGTTAATGTAAATCTTTCAATTAGCTGTTCCTTTCCATAACTTAGACGAAATAGTTCCGATAACGTTCGTGCAAGTATGTCAACGTCATTTCCTTGTATTAAAGTCTTATTCTGCATAATCTTTGGAAGTTCACGTAGCACCAATTGTATCGTATGCCAGTCTTTCTCATTGTCGAGACATTTTACGATAATTTTACAGCCTCGCTTAATTGAAAGTGACGTGACTGCATTAAAATTAAATAAATTTTCTGGTGGCTTATCTTCGACTGTATCTTGAATATTTGGTGTTTGTGGAAGCGGTGGATGTTGAAATTCTCCTTCAACAGCTAAATAGTGGCTATATTTGATATTTTCACTTATTAATCTTGGTGATGGATATCCGATTTGATATGTTGAATTTGCTCGAACCTTCAACATCCAATTTAATATTGAATATCTTATTTTAGTTGCATTCTCAAAGACTTTTGGCTGTTGATAATGCGTCTCTAAATGTCCAATTAAAATGTGATAAATCTTGATTGGATGACTTGTAGGCAATTGATGGAGTTTCTCTAAAAACAAATCAATCAGTCCGAGGACAACGACATTTGAGTCTTCAAAATCATGTTCATTTTTAAATGACGTATTACTCAGTGAATATAAATCAAATGGATGATTCATGACTTTTTCTAATACATCGAGTAGTTCCAAGCATCTTTTTGTGTCGCAATGTGAGCAAATTTCGAGCAAAAGTTTACAGACTGCCACGCGAATTTTCACGTCATGTTCTTGTGCGATATCCGAAAATATGACAATCACGACTTTCTCAAGAATCTCTTCCTCATAGCATGTACGATTTAGGGCTATTATTTCTTTTAAATGCTCAATCGTTGCTAATCTAATATTTTGATTTGCCTCATTCCGATAAAATCTTTCCATGAAAATATTCAAATGTTTCAGCCAATTCGGCATCATTGAATTTAATTTTGATGCTTTATGATTAATTAAATTTATTACGGATGATTCTGGACGTTTGTTGCTGATTCTCTCGATTACTGAATAAATTTTATCATCATTCGCATTAATGTTCTCCCTATTATGCACTAGGAGTTCTAGATTGTCAAACATTGTGTGTAGACGGATCCAAATGTCTGAATTGTCAGGGACTTTTTCGCGTTCTAATTTGGAAAAAAAAATTAAGAATTTAGCGGTTAAAATTAATTTGAATTGCATAGAATGTTTCAAAACCCTACAACAGCATATATGAAATATTTGTATGGTTTTGGAAAGTTCAAAATTCAGAGGTACGTTACTCACCAACAATATCGAGAATCCTCTCCAAAGTGTCAAGAATCACATCCCACGACGGTTCACTCAAATCTTTGCCACATTTAATGATTAATGTATGTAAACTGAGTATGACTTCATAAGTCACAATCATTGATCCCGATTCTAGCACTTCATAATAGCTTGATAGAACGACCGAGCTGTATTTGATTCCATTTTGCAATGAGCTATTATTTCCACCCCAAAGATTAATATTTGTATGAAAAACAGCACCACGTAGGACATGAGGATCGACATAATAAGCACTTTCTTTGAGCATATTACACATAGTGAGGAGTGAAGCATAGCCCAATTGTGTTCCTAACAAGTTTCGCATAATTTTATATGACGGCTCAACATACATCTCAAAATTAACAGCTCTACATAGAACGATTATACATGAAGCCAAGATTTCATTTGGAAATACACTATAACAAATAATTGTCTCGATTAAATATAAACACTGAAGAAATGTGTCTCGATCGTCAAGTGATTTAAAGCAGATATCATTACAGACTCGTTGCACAATTTTGATGATAATTTCTCGGTCAATATATGCTGAATTGAATTTGATAAGGTTCACTAAAAGATCTAGATACACAGCAGTCAATTGTGCTTCGATTATTTCGTCCATCCATGTCAGCATAAAACTTCCAATTTCCTCCTCAAAATTCTGAACATCTCGTCCATTTTCTGTGAGAGTTTTAAGCATCTGTAGACATGCTGGCAGATCTTCAGGAATCTTGTGTGTTTGAACGACTTGAAAGAATTTCCCTCTCATAATCGCCAAATCACGATATTGACCTTGAATTAATTTGGTATAGAATGAAAGTGCTGCCTCGCTGAAATTTTTAAGATCCAGTCGAAATTATTACTTACACTTTTGGTTAATTATCTATTTTAACTTACCGGACATCTTGTGGTTTCTGAGCATCTAATAAGTCATTCGTCAGTGACCAGATTTTCTGAATAGCAAACTGGAGTAGACAGGAAAATGACAATAATGAGCAAAACATACAGAAACAGCTTCAACACCTTAAAACATCCATCGATTGATGATTCCTTAGTTTTAAACTAATTGAATCACTGAATCTGATTGATATAGAGTTAATTACCTCTTCTATCCTGGTTGATACCAATATTTCGCCCAAATCTTTAATTAATTTTAATCTTTTCTCGAGCGAATTATCTTTTCGCAATTCTCGCTCAATTTCAATGTTTAATACTTGCACGCGTTCTTGTCCACTGTTTGTCTTGTTACTCCGGAAGAATTGCTTCAGTTTGTCTAGATTTTTACTCATCTTTAGTGTATTTAATTAATTCTTTTAAGCGACTTTTGTATCGATATGAAATGAAAACACAAAGGATTTGTTCACTTATGACGTCAAACTAATTTTTGGGGTTTTGAGTCCCCTCCCCACTTTGTCATCTACTTTATCTTGTATTGTGCTATTCTTTGGTGCTTATTGGTCCTAATTCATGCACTGATCAGGCAAATTAATTAAGTTTCTTCCAGTATTTTCAGAAATTTTTGATAAAATTACAGGATCGAATGTTGAAAGTATGTGTTGGTATGTATCAGAATCTATTGTTTATTTGCTAATAGGCAATAATCAACTTTTATTTTGACATGCTATTTATTTAATTTCATACCCAATCCGCAAAAGACAGTTGACGTTATATTTGAAAAATCCCCATTCGCTACAAAATTCACTTCAGAAATAACAGTCAAAAAATATTCAAAAATTTGTAAACAAACCCAGTGTTTTTGCCGTGAAAATATTCAGAAAAAAATTCAATTTTAATTAATTTGAGGCTGAAATGGGCCTTCTATCGGATCCATCGCTAAGTGCTAGCGATAAAAAGCTAAAGTACATCAATTTAATTAGTAAATATGCAAATGGGTTCTGTTTCTTGCTTTATTTGGTGGGATTTTTATGGTTTTGTGCATTAAGTTTTCCACAATTGCAATCAAACACTTATTTCTCCGAGAATGCTCTCCTTCCCGGTAAGTTCAATACTTCAAACACCAATTAATGTGACAATCTAACATATTAACTGCTTAATTCAACTTTAGGACTTGTACTTTCGGAGATTAAAATGGATACAGTAAATATGGCAAGAACTTTGTTGACAGAACTGGAACATGAGAGAGAAACACACAAATCAGCTATTCCATATCCATGGATGCAAGCAAAAATGAAGCAAATAGGATTGGAAACGTATGTCCATAATTTTACATTAAATTATCCATTTGGAGGTGGCAAGACATTTCAAGGCAAAAACATTTACGGGATATTGAGAGCACCAAGAATTGGATCAACAGAATCGATCGTTTTAAGTGTACCATATAGGCCTCCAAATACAGCACATACATCAATCACTTCTGGAGTTCCATTGTTACTCGCATTTGCTGATTTTGCTAGAAGACAAAAGTATTGGTCCAAAGACATTATATTTCTGGTCACAGATCAGGAACAGCTTGGAATGCAAGCATTTCTAGAAGCTTATCATGGTGACGATGAGAATAATATATTAGATTCAGGAACTCTATATGGAAAGGCTGGAAATATCATAGCAGCAATAAATTTTGAGATCCAGGACTTTGATGTTGAATTTAATAATTTAAAGATTGAAGGACTTAATGGTCAACTCCCTAATCTTGATCTTCACAATTTAGTGGTTAAATTGTCACACAAATTCGTCCTTCCAATTGGATATAAAATGAAAATGGGCAGTCATCATCGTGAAGATGCTGTTGAAAACTTCTTTAACTTACTGTCAATGATGTGGACACAAAGTAGTGGAATTCCGAATGGTAATCATGGATTATTTCATAAATATGGAATTGAAGCATTAACAATTGAAAGTGTTAAGAGAGAATCGAGTGGAAGAAACCAAAACATTCATCAAAAGATTATGGCACTGCTGAAAATCATTGAAGGCATTAGTCGCAGTTTAAATAACTTATTGGAAAGATTTCATCAAAGTTTCTTCTTTTACGTAATTGTTTCATCTGATCGTTTCATATCAATTGGCGATTATATGCCTAGTTGTGGATTAATGGCAGCTAGTTTATTCGTGAAATCACTTTTGATATGGTTAATGGCTAATAACAAGCCTGACGAGGAAGAAGCGAATGAAAAAAAGAGTGATGATGATAAAATTGTGATAATTAGGAAGTCGAGCATGAGAATTGAGGTATTAAGGATTGGTACAGTCATATTATGCTCACATCTGGTCGGTGTTGCTGCACTTGTTATTACAACGAACAAAATAATTCATGACTACTTATTTTCAATGAACATTCCAACACAGACTGGCATTTTTTATCTAGTCTCAATAATATTAGCATTTAGCATATTGCTTCCTAAATTCCTTAAACTTAATGCATTTGATGCTCAATTCTTAAACATTGCCGTACTAATTGAATTAGGAACTGCGTTTTTGTCTGTCAGCATGCTGAATTTCTCACTTGGCTTCTTCTTATGCGTTCTCATAACACCTTTTGCCATATTTATCAACATTCAAGAAGGCACAAAGAGAAATCTGTTTAAATTTCTCATTAGAAGCTTACTACACTTACTTATTCATCCAATTACTGTAATTTATGGAGTCATTTGCATGTTAAGCTACATCGCATTTTCTGAGATGAACTTTAATTATATTATGGATAAATCGATCTCAGCTACAGTTGATGGAATCACTTATGCTGTTGTGGACTCGCTGGTAAGTTTGACTAAATTTATTCAAAAGCAACTTTATGGAACTTGAAAATAATATATGTCTGTTCACAGATTTACGGCAATTGGTTGTTTGATCTCACATGCTTAATCCTATTGCCTTGTTGGATAATATTCTGGATAATGAATTTTTCTAAACCCGTCGAGAAGATAAGCAAACAAAAGGCTGAATAAAGTGACGACAATTGTTGATGTACGATAAGATAAGAACGAGCTGCGTAATATAAATGAGCCAAAGTTTGTTAATAAAATAACATTCATTCGTAATTTTAAAGCTTGATTATTGTCTAATGACTCATAATGTTAATTTATTGAATCCAATGGATTTAGTCACATGTTCAACGGAAATTCTCAATAAAATTCAAAAATTTGCGCCTGAATTCCTTTACTGAATTCAAACAGGAAGTAACGGTTTTTTCGAAAAAAAGTAAAATTACAGAGGTCTCGGTATTTAAGCAGGTTGCACTATACATTACGATTTCCTTCATTCAATTTCTAGAGTTTAACTCGTCTGTACGTCCATTAAAAATTAGTTGCCAGTGCTTTTTATCAGTAAAATTAGCAATAAAGTAATTGCTCTAATTTAAGTGATTAAAAAAGGTAAATTAAAAATGCAAAAAAAATATTTGCAATTGCAAAGAAAGAATTTCTTAAAATGTCGCAGTTAAGTTCAAGTTTCTCGATATCTGGATTTTATAATGAGCTCGACAATAAGGAATGAGTTCAATTGAATGAGATCCAGAAGTGTAGTGATGCAAAGGAAATGAATTTAATTCTTTGTGTGAAATAATAGACGTTACAGGAAGGCACAATAGGTGAAATAGAGTATATATTGTGATGAAGCAAAGTGACTAACATACATGAGAGTGTGTAAAGAGACAAAGAGGAATAAGAAGAAGAAAATGGATAAACGATGAATCACAAGAGAAAAAGAGCGTTAAATACCGTTGAAATAAACTTCAATCATTATTTTTATGTCGTTTCTAAGGAAAAGGTTCATAATTTCATTCAACCAGATATCGCATGTACGAAAATAATTTAATTAACGTACAAACAGCAAGAAGAAAAAGCATAAAAAGACATTCAGGCTAATTAATTTTTGTTAAAAATTATACAATAACTCTAAGCTTTATAAATTTCAAGTGTGTGAAGCCTCCGTCCGTCGCTAGCAATGAACCAAAACAAAAAACAACTAAAGAGCTTTACATTGAATATGTTTTAAAGACATTCATTCTCATATGCTTAGTTTTCAAGGTGATTAGCGATTACTCATGAGAATCATCGCGATAATTAGAGACATCTTTTTGTGTACAGTATGTTCGCTGACATGAGTCGAATTAGCATAACGATAATCGATAAATTATCAAACAATTCACAATTGCGACGTAATGAGTATAGGAATGAGAGATATACACAACCAGTTATGTAGGAATTATAGTTTTGATCAAGTGTCTGTGACACAATGGAAATCCTGTGTTTTTGTTTTGTAGACTCCATTCTAATTCCCAGAATTGAAAGTTAAATCTTGAAATTTGAAAGATTAAAATTTTAAATCCTTAAGATTAGAATTAAGTCTAGTTAAATCCTAGGATTAAAACTTAAATCTAGAGTTTAAAGTTCATTTGTTACAAAACAAAGAAGCTTTTCTATTCAATCCTAACCGATCAGAACACAAGTTTCCCCATTATTAATAGTATAAAAGTGAGAAATCAAGGCGCTAATAACATAGAACTGAGAATTATTTAATACATTCTCAATCTGACCATATTTATATCTAAAAATGGAAAACTACAATGAAAAGACTTTATAAAAAAAAATAGAATGAGTTCATACAAACAGAAACGGAAGAGATTGTAGATAAAAGAAAATATAAAAAAATTTTAGACAAAATGAGAACAGTCTCGTATGCACGAAAAAAAACAACATTTTCTTCATTAATTGATGTTTTTTTCGACTACGTGACAAGGCAGGAAGTAAATTTTTAAATTTCATTTCATATAAAGTTCAACCAAAAAATAAGTACATGATAAGTTTTCACTTTCAAGATGCCCATAAAATAAATGTGAGTGATGAGCAGATACGCAAAAAATTAAAAAAATTTCATTGTATGTATTTTGTCAGTTTACGGACAAGTAAATAAATAAATAAATACTACGGTTGTATAACGTAAGGATAAGCGGTGTGAATTGCTATATATTTAATGTAAATTGACAAAACTTTCCATGTGCGCATTTACTCAATCAAGCTTCAATTTGTTAAGTATTCCCATTATACAGAATTCAGATTCCTTAATTCAATTAAGATAACAAGCTATCAATTTGTACAAAGATGTTATTTTTATGCACAATATCAAGGATGAAATAGTTTAAATCTGATTTCTTATTATGATTTGTTGTGTGCTTAAAATAGTTCAGGGATACGTGAAGTGAGAAAATATCAAAAAGATCAATGAAGGTCACTTTCATTTGATCATTTTAGTTCAACTTATGTGTTGAGGCTTGTCGGCAAAATCTCACAGAAATTATAGCTTTTTCATGTGAATTGAGAGAGACTTGGAATTGGCTGGCCATATGCTGGGAACTATCTTGTTTGTTTTGGTTGCTTTTTGTAATTTTTGCAGTCTGTAGATCAGCGCTGATCTGTACAATTATTGAAAAAAACTAGATTGTGAATTTCGGATTTAAAACCGAATCCAAAATCTAATTTTCAAGAATCAAGTTTATTCATTTTAAACCCCAAAATTGCCAATAATGTTAAAATTACTATAAAGATGGCATCTAGCCAGTCAACACTCTAGGAACATAATAATATCGAAATATAGACATGATGAAATTGTATATGAATATTTCATTAAGATAGATGTAGATGCATATGTATGAATGAAACCTCTTGAAACGTACATAAATTATTTATGGAGCTTTGCCGTTTCCGCTTACTTCGAATGTCGTTAGTTCACGTTATCTTATGCTCATATCTTTGAAAATCTCTGAATTATTATTTATAAGTTAAAGTCAAGTCTCTCTTTCTCGCTCAAATTACTCAATCACATGGCTTTCAAGATAGATTTTCGTATACTAGCTTTAGTTTCGGTGCTTACAAGACTGTGAAGGAAAAAAAATAAATAAAATTTCGTTTTCATTGAAATTAATGTACCATTTTAGCGGATAGAAGAAGTGAGAAATAGAAGAAAAGATCGCCAAAGTGGAAGTGTAAATAGTCGTCTGTTTAAAACGTGTATCCATTCAATTTGAATGAGAAATCACTTTTTTTTGCCAGCTTTTTTGATGTACTATGAATTTCATTTAAGTACTTTAACGGGCTTATTCTTTTTATGTAATTTAAAAAAATACAAAAAAACTCATTCGATTGAGTTTGAGGTGATAAACGGAAGTCATGGCTATTATGGTGGTTGCTTGAGGTTTCGATCAAGTTTAGAGACCACAATCTGGTGATTTTTTGATTTAAGGCTAAATGTTGTCTTTTGGAATCTATCAAATGGGTTATGAATTATGAAGCTAGGGATCTTATAGCTCATTTTATGACCCTTCTGCAAGTTTTTCAGTAGGACTTCGCTGATTGTTGATCACAAATCAAAAATAAGACAACAATAATTAGAAATCTTTAAAACAGACAATTCTGTAAATCCTAAATAATCTCAATTGTCAACATGACTCAATCAAATTCAAGTTAATTCTATTATCAGTAAGCTCAGACCACTCACCTATACAGATGTAATTTTAATAAGACCTCAAAATACAAAATTTAAGACAATTTAGATGTGTCCATTATAAGATTTTCTGTAATTTTATTCCTTTTTTGGTTTGTAAGTTTTTCGATTGAGTAATAAAAGCTTTAGCTGACAGTTTTGGAGTAGGTCTAGTGTATTATTTAAACTTGCATCTGTCAAAAATAGATGTTTCCACTTCAAAGCCTTTATTTCAAGCATATTAAGTGACATAACTCATTAATTTCATTAAAAATTGCAAAAGCACCATAGTCTCTATTATTTCAATGTTAAGTAAAGTTAAGTATCTTTCTCCTACCTGAAAACTTCATTGTCCAAGTAATTAAGTGATGGATTAACATTTTATGATTGATTCTCGTCCTTTAACTTTCAAACAAAGGAAGAAATTGATTCCGATAACAATTATCTCAACAAAAAAATAAGTTCACTGATCTTAAAACCTAGTTGGCACTCAAACCAACATACTCAAATAATACTTTAAGTCCCTGAACACTTTTCTCTAGATTTAACACATTCTAGGTCAAGTTTTGTTTGATCGAATCGTCTGAAAGGCATCACAATGCGCAATTTTAATCGAATTATTTAATTAATTAAAAAAAATCTCGCGACAGCACGTCATAAATTACTGGATCATATTTTTAAAAACAAATAAAATTGATAATTCGGTGACTCAAAATCGGTTATTTTCCATCGAATTTGAAGCGTTAAGCCAGAAAAAGTATTTGTCATACATTATGCGACTGATAGTACTTCATCATTTTCATCTTCATTGCTGTCTGCCTCAAACTAGTTGCTTTATCAGCGAATTTTTTATATTGCGAATAAATTGAATCGTCATGAGAAAAAAACGAAATACGCAATTTTTTTTATCAGCTGCAAAGTGCAACAGACAATTTACAATAGTAGAAATGATGTTCGAGCCAGTTTGAAAAAGGAAACTAGTTCAGTTATGTCAGCAAAGTATTAATGTGCATTTATATACATCAGACTTGATTAACGCTTTTGTTAAAGTGATTAAAATGATTTTTTATGGGAAACTTTTCAATATTTTATTGATAATTTCACGGTCTTTAAGATTGAGGCAGGCAGCAGCAGCGTAGAGTGAAAAGAAGTTCAAATCGCAGTTTTCTAGAGATTAGTAACTTTCTTCTTACTTTTTTAGCATGTTTTAATGGATGTAGATACGCAATATTGTCTTCACTTTGTTCTTTGTCTAAATTTCATGTCAAATGACTTGTGTTATTTTTGAAAATTTGAATTTTCATATGAACTTTACATGACATTTTAAATTCAATGCGCTCTTGCCAATATCAAGACTCAATCAGTAAGCATCACTTTCTACCTCTCGTCTCTCATTAGTCTGTATTTTGATTATGCAGAATGAGGTTGAAAGTAGATTGAGAAACAATTATATTTGAGTGAGTCAACCACCTGTTCTCATGTTTGCTACCTTTTCCTTTATATCAGTTTAAATTTAAAAAGTGAGTTGTGTATAAAAAAAAAACTTAATTTTGTTCTTAACATTGCGAATCATTCAAGGTGGTTTTTTGTTGGATGTAGTAAAAGAAAAAGAAAATGTTTAAAAATAAAAATGCATTGTTGCCAATATCACTTAATGCCTGCAATAAAAATCATAAGATATATATTTTGAGCTACATTGTGTCGCTATACTTTATCTTGCTTGTTTCCTATTTGTGATAAATATTTTTCTCTACTGCTGATTAAAATGCTTTGTGTACAGCAAATTTGTTTATTTCATCATTTGGACTAGATGCTTCTATTGTTGATGTAAATAAGAAAACTTGAATATTCTACACAATTGGAGATTCTTTTTAAACTTTTTTTTTGTTTACTTTGTAGTAGACTAGAATGTGTAATTCAATCATTTGTGAACTAATAATAAGTATTACACGTGTAGGACAATTGAATCAAGCTTAAGTAGGATGAAATATTAAATTATCAATGTGTATTAAATTTTTAAAAATGTTTTATAATTTCAAAGAATTCTTTTGGATTTGATAATTATTCAATTTTGAATAAGATAAGAGAATTATTAAACATTTGCAATCGACTAGATTATCTTTAGTTTGTTTCGTGCATCCAAGCTTGAAGGTTCATTGATATTGCTTTAATAGTTCCAAGATATATAGATGGGCTCATACAGAGTATACTTGACCATACTCGACCATACTATTTTTTGTGTACTTATACAAACAAAAATTTTTAAAATTTTCTATTTTCAAGTTTTCATTTAAATATCGACAGATGCAACAACATTTGTCTTAAGTCAGTTTCTTTAAATTATAGCAAAGCATTTGCAATACTCCTGTAGCAACAAAACTTAACTTTAAATTATAGCAAAGCATTTGCAATACTCCTGTAGCAACAAAACTTAACAGAAAGTTGAAAATTTTGCAAAACAAAAATTAAAAATTTTCTTTTATAGTGTTAGTGTTTTTAGAAAATTCAAATTTTTGACGTTTAAAAACTGCGATATTTTTGTATGAGCACATCTATATATCTTGAATAGTTCAATTAACTCGATTTTTTCTGAATGATTGTAATTCAAAATATAAACTTGGGAATTTAGAAAACCTTTGAAAATTCAAATCTAAATTGAGGTAAAAATGCGTCAAAAAAAATTCTTAATTCTTAGTAAATGACAAACTTTTCTACCTTAAACATTTTTCATTTATCCACAAAAATTCTTGTTGCCATTTAAAAAAAAAACTTGAAAAAAAAACAATAAACAAAAGTCGTGTTTCACGTTTCCACAGAAAAATCATTAAAACTTCTTACCGAGGCGTTTTTTTTGCTATTAATTATTTTGCTGTGCAAATCATATTTAATTCATAAATGTGAGTGAAGTTGAAACGAAGCTATTTTTGCAGCCACAATAAAAATTACAGGAAACCTGTGAATATTTACTACAGAAATTGTCCTCGATCAATGTAAATAGGGAAGTTTAAATAAATCAAAATTTTGAACTGAAAAGAACGAAAAATCTTATGATTCTTGTTTAATCCGAGAACATGAAAATTACTATCGATCCTAAAATCACATCTAGCTTCTCATGCAATAACTGAATAAATTTGCATAAGCCACAGCTTCAATGTAGTTTATAAAATAATTATTATGCAGTTATTAAGTTATTAAATAGATGCACACTGTACTCGTGGGGAACCTAGTAATGATTTTTGTTATTATTTTTTCGAGTGTACGTGCGGCACTACGCAATAGTGACTAATGTTTACATTACAAAAATGTTATTCTCAAAAGAAATTTCTGAATTAATAACGTAATCGTGAAAATATTTTGTTTCGTATTTACGTAGTCGGCTGTTTATTGCTTACGATATAAAGTCATGTTACTTACATTTCTACAGCCCATTTGTCTTGCGTCACTATAAATTTATACACACTTTACCGTATTTTTAAAAAGTTTTGTTATTCATTATCTAACACAATAAATGATAAAGATTGAAACTTTTAAGTATGAGCGATGAGCACCGATTCATACGACCTTCAGCGATGAAAAATTGATAAAATTTAAAATCAATCATCAAAGCATACTATGAATTAAGAAAGAGTATTTTTGAGTGCAAATTTGCAATAGTTTCTGTGCTGTATTAAAATTCTGGGTATACAGGAAGGTTTATGCTGAATTAAGGGAATTTCCATGACGATTTTGTAACAACACAGTGTGACTTGTGAGTTTTCTGAGAATTTTTAAGCGTTTGTTTTGTTAATTGCGTTTTTTTGAGGCATTATGGATATAAAATTAGAATATGAGTCATTTAATGGATGTTAATTGATGGAGGAAGTGGTAAAAGAGTTATAGAGCTATGCTATATATGAGACTAATAGATAGCATAGCTTCAATAACCAGGAAAAGTGTGTCTTGTTAAACATTAGCTCAACTGTTCTTCATTAAAACAAGACTCAACATCCATCAGCAATAAATGAGCTCTGTCATTTAAATATTTATAGTATGTACACAAAAACTAAGGCGACAATGCAATAAAATGTCGTTTATAGCATAGCATTGAACTTTGTTTAATCTTCTGAGCAACAACAAAGTATTTCTGGATCTTAAAAATTAAAAATCATAAGCTATTGCTCTATATAAGCTGTAATAAAAAAGTAATGACTTTTTCGGCACGAATAGAGGTTTTAAGTAGTTCATGCCAGCTTGAAGGCTCTGTATTAACATATATCCTTCATGTTTCTGTGCTGTAAATTGCGGCTCCTTGAAGTAAACTTTTCTTGAAGTTCTGTGGCTTAATTTGCATAGGAAATAAGTTACAAAATTAAGTAATAAGCAGAAGAGACATAGAAAGTGAGATATTCAATCGTTTTCGACAAATATTGAACACAGAATGTGTGAAGTCTATCCAAACTATATTACGCGCTAATATTTCGATTCTAAAACGTCATTAAACTTGTTATCAGCCACAAAACTTATAAACATAATCTTCAAGGTTACAACTGTTTATGTTTTAGAAAATAGACTAGATTATACAATTTTGCCTTATCCAAGTAGTTTAGGAAACCTTGTTGAACTTTGATAAGGATTTTGCAATTATTGCTTTGAAGTTTGGTTCAGGAATTTATTGATAATTCTATTTTTAAAGTGTTTATAATTGGGTTTATTGACAGTTGTTGATAATTTTTTTTTTATTAATTTATTGCCTTTGTTCCTGTAAATTTTTGTTTGAATACTTGAGGATAACTTGTTATTGATCGAATCATTTTTAACTTTGACATACAACAAAGATTTCGGTAGATTATCCTCGATTTCGGATTATCCACTTCATTTTTTTTGCAAATATCTTAAACTTTATGGGAGGTGCGGTAATTCAAATTTTGGATTATAATAGAGTGAACAATACCTGAAATTTCTGTATACTTTAAACTTTTACTTTTCGTTAAGAAGTATTAATTATTCAATTTTCTAGGCAAATCTAGTAGATTAACTTCGATTTTTGCTATAATTCTCAAACTAATGAAGATATAAAAATTCTAAGTATATGTTAATTTAAGTAGAAAAGTTCTCTAACTAGATCACACATTAGATCTCTTAATAACTTTAAGCTTCTGGAAACATATCCAAAAAACTGAAATGCATAAACCGAAATCGAGGATAATCCACTTTAGTGAAACAGGCCAAAAGATATAAAGTTTAATCTTACGATTTGTTTTTAATCCACTGGCTTTAAGTCTACTCAAGGATTGAAGCAATAATCCTGGCTTTGAACATTTAATTCCTTCCTCACAGAATCAAAACAACATTTGTATACAGTAATTCTTACTTCACATCCAATATTCTCATTGTTTATCGATTCATAATTCAAATAAATTGTTATTACAACAGCTCTAAAGACTTCATCACTTTCTCTACTTTATTTTAACACGACGATTAATTGCCAATGAAAAATAAAGCCTATAAAATGGCCATAAAATGAATTAATATCGATCATTATGAATGATTGTTTATCTTATTGATGTTGTCTATGGCACAATTACATGCATTTTATTCATCAACTGTTTTGCTGTATATATTTTTGCCACATGTTTTTTTTGATTGCTCATTTGTCGTCACCAACCAGGCAAAAATTTTGAAATTGAACAGACATTTGTTTTATTTGAAATATATATTTTTTTCATCTCGACTTCATTCATTTGTTATATGAAACTCTTAGTGTTCAGTTCATAGTCGTGACTTGATCAAGAAATTTGAACTCTCTGCCTGTCTGTCGGGATTCCACATTGCAAAATGTATTTTTTGATTTTAAGTCATTAATTATTGTTTCAACACTAATCAAAAAATTTTTTGTGTTTCTTTCTTTTTAGAAATTCTTTAAGAAAAAGTCAAAATAATTAAGTAGAAATATGAAGTACGTAACTCGACCAGCTCCAGCACCTCCAGGCTCACAATTAAATACAATGAATAATAATCATGTTAATCCAGCAATGAGTAATAAGCCTAAACCACCTCGACCACCACCGCCGAGAGTAACAGACCAAAAGCCTGCTGCAAAGGAGCCAATGAGAATATTCTCGAACCTATTTGGTGCTTCAAAGAAATCTAGTAATAAATCGAATGAGAAATTATCACAAATGGAAGTTAAACTTCCGCTACCAAGACTTCCTCCACCCACATCAACGTCAGTAAGACAAAATCAAAACTTCACAACTTTATCATCGACAGTAACAGCAGCACAGCTCATAAATTTTGATGAATCACCGCCTGAGTCTCCCGTTGGTTTCATTAAGAAATCAAATACAGGTGGAAGTGACTCGGTGTCAATCGACAGTTTCTGTTCGACAAATTCATCACCAAACAATTTTGGATTAAATTCTGGTACAACATCACAAGCTGAAAGGTAAATAAGACGTTTAATGACTCTTATAAGATGCCGTTTTAAATATGATGGTTATTTAAATTTTGAAAAAATTCTTACAAAATCGATAAAGTTTGAAATAAGAAATTCGTTAAAATTTTAAAACCGTTAATAAATTAATTAAAATTAAACTTTAAAATAGACATCATTAATGAACGCTTCCCAATTCGAATTATTTTGTATTCTACATGCTTCGTCAAAATGACCCAGTAGTTGACATTTAAATAAATTAACTTTTATTTTCCTTTCTTTCCATATTGACTCATAGTGGTTTCGAAGACGATTTTAGTGTGTCTGACTTTAAGGTTTCATCACGCGCCGCATCGCGTTCAACAACTTTTTCCAATGATCCATTTGACTGTTTAGATGAATTTTCATCATCGACGAAAAATCAGCCTGTAAAAACTAATAACTTTGGAAATATTCGTAATTTGAAGCCATTAATTCAGCCTAAACCAGTCAGTATTGGTAACACAAACTTTTATTCAACATCAAATAGTTCAGCACCGTCGCCTGCTAATTTTGATGATACATTAAGCAATGGCAAGAATTTGGTAAAACCACAAATTTTAAGTATGCCAACAATCATTAAGCCAGCATCACAGAATAGTAATCGTAAACCATCACCAATTCATGTGCCTTTATCATCACAAAATAATGACGTAATTAAGAAGAAATCTCTGGCTCCACTTCCGCCAGTTCAATATAAGCAACTAGACTCGACAAGTGATGAAAGTTTTGAGGATGAACCACCATCTCCTCCAATGCCTACAATTCCTGCACCTGTGTTAGTTTTTGATGGACTTAATAATGATGCAAATGACGAGGAGAAAGATAGCTATGGAATAGCTCTTTATGATTATGAGAGTGAAGTCACAGAGGACCTAAACTTTAGAGTGAGTATCTCATTAAATCTTTAATCGAATTTCGATACTAAATTCGTGTGCTGATAAGTTTCTATGAAGCACACGTGTAGGTCTATTTAGTCAAGCGTATTTATTTAATTGTAATATGAATTCTTTTTGATCGTGTCATTCGTATCTGGAAAAGTTCGTTGCCAGCCAAAGTCTTTAAATTAAACATGAATATAAGCTTAATTAACGATCGAACACGTAAAACAGCACTCGACTCGTGCTCTAACAAGGAGAGATTCCATTCCCAGAAATAGAAAACAATTTATTGCAAAGATATTAAATCAGTGATTTTGCTTCTTTTATTTTGCAGGCAAATGAGAAAATTTATTTAATACAACAAATGAATGATGAGTGGATGTATGGGAAAAATAAACGAGGCTGTGAGGGAATATTTCCAATAAGTTATGTTGAAATTAAAGTGCCATTAAAGAATCCACAAACGGATTCTGGCACAGCATCAAGAAGTGAGTCTGTAAGTCCGGCTGTAACAGCCGTGAGTAGTCATCGAGTTCGAGCTCTTTATACATTCGATGCTGAGACTGATGGAGATTTAACTATCCTTGTAAGTATTGATGTGTTGATGACTACTTAAATTTAAAACAAATTTTAACGGTTTAAAAAATCTGAACTTCGTTTAAAATTTGAAATCTACAAAACCGCTAAGTTTCTCAATGATTTTAATATCTTCTTATGAAAATTTCCCTTCTGCTAATCATTAATGATACTCAATATCGTAATCGCAATACTATATTTCCTCTTCATTGAGTGATTTCAAAGAAATCTGGCACATTTTACGCAGAAATAATTGATTCAACAGAATCAGCATGAATGAATTGACTAAAAGTCTAAGGTTCAGTTGAGACTTGATAAGAAAGAGAACAATGAAATCGCCAGACGCCAGTAGCTCATACATATTGTGCGATGTAGGCGTGAAATAAAACTTTTTTTTTGCGCAATTAGAAAATTCCCTCTTATCAGTTCCTTTAAAATGAGAATGAGAATTTCCCCATTAATAATGCTAATCTTTTTTATTTTTATTATTTACAGGAAAATGAAATTGTGAATGTCATGTACGAGATAAACAGCGAGTGGCTTTATGGATCAAATAGCTATGGACAGTATGGACAATTCCCATCAAATTTCATTGAATTTATACCACATAACTTACCACCGATGCCTAAATAAGCAAAAAGCTGAGCTTCAAGAAGTTTTCTTACTATCGATATATTATCAATTTGTAAAGAATGTATATAGCTTCAAATTTTATTTTAGTGCATAAAGAACTACTCATATTTACAATTATTGCTCTAATATTTCATCAAACATTGAACTGAAACTTTATTTCTTAAATTTATGGAACCAAGAGAAGAAAAAAAAAGTTTGTAGATCTGTAAAATCATCGTCATGTCACATTTGTAACCCCCAGAAATAGGTTTTGCTATTTTTATGAATCCGATATACTTACTGCATATGAAACTAGAATTATTTTAATGTTAAAGTAATGAACTAAGTATTTAATGTCCTTTAAATTGAATGCAAGCCTGCTTAGGAAATAAAGAATGGAAAAATTACGAAAACATGGAAAAAGTGTGACTTTTTATTGCGTTTTAGGAATGGAAAGGAGTGTGTAGAGTCAATATTGATGCAACCTATGTGATAAACATAGATTATCATTAATGTTGACATTCTGACACATTCGAGTGGTTGTTGGAATATTATTTTCAGCTGTTAAAGGTGTTTGCTGAGTAAATAAAGCTTCGAGGTGGTCTAAGAGACACAAATCTTCAGTGGATGCGTCACAAATGACGTTTAATTTTTCACCATAAGCCACAGCCCTCATTAAAACAATTACCGACAAATTCATACAGTTTTGGATCACTCATCATTGCAATCTAAGGGTCTGAGTCTTTAATTGCTCCCAAAGTCGTACGCTCAACACCATTCTTGTATATTCAACCAAACAAATAAAACTATTTTCATAAAAAAAGTCAAATCGACAGACTTCTACCTACACGACTGCTTAAAATACAGCTTAAAACATATGTTGGTAAATAGACAAAACACCTGTTCAATCATACGTAAGCGTTTATCAAGTCTTTTTGTTGTTGACTCCCTAGTCTCTTGGAGTTCGACTATTGCAAAAGTCGTTGTCAATGTGCGACTCATGTACATTTAAATTCAACTCGGCTCATTTCAGACCATTCCGAATCCTTAATTCCTTTGAACAGACAAAACAGCAAGAAAAATTCAAATCTTCACCCCAATTGCTAAATCACATCTCCAATATCACGGCATTCGACAACCCCCAAAATATAATTCAGATGCTGTGCGCAACTGCAAATCACATCTCCAAAAGGATGAAAAGCATTTTCTAAGTCAAACAAGATAAAAATCGATTTTTGTGCTCGTTTTAGACACGAAAAGGAATTAAAAATAATCATTAATTAAGCTATAAGTGCGCATAAAGGAACTAGTAAAGTTTATACATAAATCAATTTAGCATCAATATCAAGTCACAACAAAATGCCTAAAACAGATAAGAAGAATCTAATGGACGGTAATGAACTTAGAGCAGTCAATCTATCAAGCGACTGACTGACTAGCTTTGTTTATATATTTTTAGACGATCTTTCAAATGAGTCTGTCGAGGAGCTGAGAGCACGCTTAAATGCAATGAAAAGATTAGTGGCTGAACGTCAGCAGACTACAAATGCGACACCAGATAGAACTGAATTTTGGACACCTAATACAAAGCAGTCAACTGGAATTATTGATGGGAACTTCTTAAGCATTGCATTTGGTGGAACTTTGTTGACCATCATTTGTGTCTCGATTTATGCATTTTATAACTTGTATAATGCTGTTCTGAAGAAGTTTCCAAGTCGTCATACTGAACTGTAAAGTGTTAAGCAGCATGTTGTGATTTTTAAGCGTATTTTCCATGTTGTTGTGTCTGATCTGGTAAACAGTTATGTTAGGAAGGTCCAATAATGTTCATTTTTGCATATCAATTGAATTCTTTGTTAAGGAACAGTGAAAATTGCAAGGGGTATGAAACTATACAAAAATGACATAAAACGTGACCCAACCTGAGTTAAACTTAAGAAGCTAATATTTAGCTCCATAAATGCCCCTAATATTTGAACAATCCCCAAATCACAATGATTCAGAATCGGAAAAAATGTTCAAAAATTCAAAAATAACATATTAATTAAACTTCATCTTTTAAATGCCAGATTAAAGATCTTAACTTGAGGCATATCCTATGAAAATATCTCGTCCCAATTTGATGTCTAACTCCAGAAATCATTAATTTAATCTCACGCAAAATTTGTTTACAATTTGTGTATGAAAAAAAAATATGATTTTTTCTACTTTAAGTTGTTATTTGGATGTCTTGAAAGCAGTTGCTAGCTAATTTAAGCTTAGCTTTACATATTAAAACAACAAAATCAACAGAAAACTGCTTATTAAGTCTCAAAAATGAATTGAAATCTGAGTATTTTTACAAAACTTAAACTATTCATAAGTTAAAAAGTCTTCCAAAGACCTCTCTGAAACCTATGCAAATCAATTAATTAAGCTTAAATCTATCTCCCATACAACTGGGGACATGCCGTTTGATGCCGTTTTCGAGATATTTGCGATCAAAGTTTACATCAATTTTCATACAAAATTTGATCATGCACAATATTTTTTGATAAACTTTTAAGTTTTGGTAAAAAATCATGTTTATCCTTTATATTAAGGACTGACTTTTTGAGCAATGAGCGAAAACATTATCTAGAAGATGCTAAAAGATTCAAATCAAGAGAAATTAACAAAAACTTTCAATTTTCTAATGTGTCGGAAAAGTATTGTGCACAAGAAATTTTTGAACATTTTTTCCGAATCTGAATCATTGTGCAAATTAGATATTTTGATCCCTCTTTAAATCGCAAGGGGTACACAACTACTGAAAAAATTTAAACGAGTCATAACGGAAAATGCGCTTTATGTGATGTATTAATCCAGACATTTTTTACTAGTTAATTCCTTTTTATTCTTACTTCAATGGATTATTAATTAATAAAAAAAATTAAACGTATATCCAAAACATAAAAGTTTTAAGCAGCAATCTGCATGTGCAATCTTTTAGCAATTCGTCGCTTCTTTTGTCGTTGATTTCTGACTCGTCTCGCTCGCGTTGCATCCTTGAACAGTTCAACTTTGTCTTGTCCTTCAATTCGTCGCTGTAATAAGCTCATAGCATGAACATTTTCACCGACCATGTCACGAACTTCCTTTACTGATTCTTCGAGGCTTTTAATGAGCTTTTGGATGGACGGAAGGAGAACTTGATTTGTGACAATTGGCTTGTGATGAATGCGAAAGAGAAACAGCACAACTTTTGATATTAACTCAATTTGATCCTTTCGTGATTCTGCAATTTTTGGAAGTCTTTCGAGAATTTCACAGACATTAGAAAATGGCAGTAATAACAGTGATTCCTCTAAATCACTTGCTCTAATTTTAGAAAAGACACCAAGCAAGTAGTCATTCGAATTTGTAGCTTCATAAAACTGCATAATTGGAGGAATTTCCTTACTTTCTTCAGCATCAAATTTACGTCCAATTTCAAGACTTTCGATAATATTTTCTGCTGCCTTTTCAGCACCAACAGTTTTCTTCGATGGTAGATTAAGTCCAGGCAATCCAGGAACTGCTGAATCTTCACCTGTTGCCAATTCTCGATTTTCAATCTCTTCGCGTTCCTCTTCCTCAACATCCTGTAGAACTAAAAGCTCATCACTTCTTTCATACATTCTCAAAGTTCTATCTGATCCACATGTAACTACATATCGTCCATTTGGACTTATCGTCAATCCAAATGCCTCACCAATGTGACCAGGCAATGTGAGAATTTTATTGAATGAATCTGCATCCCATTGCTTTATCTTTCCATCCTTTCCACATGTAAAGAACATGTGAGTTTTAGGAATAAATTGTAGTGCCATGACTGAGTCGTCATGTGCAAATAGTGACCGATGTACGTCACCAAAATCCATGCCCCAGATTTTTACATTACGATCAGCCGATCCAGTTGCAATGAGGAGATTATCATAGCAGATGTCGAAACATAAAACAGGCAGCTTGTGACCGTAAAGTGATAAGAAAAATTTAAATGAGTCCATAAAGAAGATTTTTACTGTGGAATCAAGCAGGGATACTACGATGTATTTATTATCTGGAGTAATTTTAGCGACCAAGACATTCTCTTCTAATTCCAATGTATTTTTATGAATGACTGACAAGACTTTATTGGATTCATTATTTGGATCATTAATCAATTCAAATGACCAAAATTTGACAGTATTATCGCCACCACCAGTTACGCAACTCCTTAAATTAGGTGCTAAACTAACACTCCACAGTTCCTTTTCATGTGCACGAATTGTTTCAAGTATTTCACCAACAACAATATCAGCAATTATTAAATCACCTTTTTTCGTACCCAACAAGACGTGTCGATCGCCAGGCACAAAACATGTTGATAAGATATAATCAGTTTCAATTGTTCTTAAACATGACAATGATGATCGATTCCAAATTTTTAATGAATCACCTGATCCAGATGCAATTGCTAAATTATCAGAACTGAATGAGACACTTCGACATTCTGAGTGATGTCCTTGTTGTGAAATTGATTTAAGAAGCAGTGGTTCTGGATGTTTTTGAGCTGAATTAATGCTGTATAATCTGATGAGATTATTGCCAAAAACAGCACCAATACGAAGTTCACCTGTTGCATTTGAAATCATGTCTATTGACTTGACTTTCTCTTTTGTCTTGATTGATCCAATTCTCTTAATTTCATCAGATAGACTTATTTCCTTACTATCTTCATTCAGCTCATCTTTCTTGACTGAAAGTTTTTTGAGCCTTTTAGACAACTTTTTTAAGGACTCTTCTGATGAATTAAAGTAGAAAATTTCAATTTCATCGTCTGTTCCTGTACATGCTAAATATTGTCCTAAACTGTCTGTAATTAAATTCACTGTTCGACCTCTTCCAGCTCTCTGAATCATTCCCACGAAATTACATCTAATTGGACTAAATGAGTCGTCATCAGTTAACAGCATACTTGAATCTGAGACTGTCTTATTTTCATTGTGTGACTTGTTTTCTGTAAGTTTGTAAACTCTTAATGCTGTTTCTTTACATCCAGTCACCAAAAATGATTCATTTCTGAGCAATGCAAGTCCCCAAACTTCAGATGTATTGTCGACAATCGTTTTAAAGCAAAACTGTGTATCAATGTTCCAAAACTTAATTTGCATGTCTTTTGAACTTGAAATTGCTATATTCTCGTAATTTTCTAGAAAGTGACAATCTGTAACAGCACCTCTATGTCCACTTAATCGATATTTTCCAGCTTGATCAACAAGATCTGATACAACTAAGTCTGTATCTAAACTTCCAGACAGCAAATTAAGTCCATTTTTGTCAAATTGGAGGCACGAGATTGCTGATTTATGTGGCGTGAACATGCATTCATTAGTTCTTGTGTCTAGATCGAAGATTACAATATTTCCATCGCTATATCCTACAGCTAGCTTGTTCTCAAAGGACTTTAAGTATGTAACTTCCTCTTTGTCGCGATTTAGTTCTGCAACTCTCTCACCGGTCCTGTAAGTCATTAAGCATGTTAAAATTTGTTTATTCTGTTATTATATAGTATAATTACCTAAGATCCCAAATAAGAACATTTTCAGCAGCTCCATTAGCCCAGAATCTGCCATTTGATGTCTGATTAAATTCTATGAAAGTTCCATTTGCACGAGAACTAGCTATAATGTTGAATATTGATGTTGGTTTATATCTCATATACTGTTTTGTCACTCCCATCTTTTAATTTATGCTCTCTCTTTAGTTTAATTAAATATTTCTGAAATTCCTCATGAACTTCACGTGTTTTTGGTTTGTTTACTTTTTAAAAAACTTTAAATTCTCAATTCAATTCACTGTGATATATTATGCTTCATATACCGATTTATAGGTAATTTTTATATCTTTCAGAATTTATTATTGGTTAATTTAATTAAGCTTTAATTCACTCAAAAAACGTTAATGTTTTGAAATTTTTAATTGAAGTTTTAACTTGTTTGTACTAAAACTTTAGCACTGGATCTTCTAAACATTACTTCTTAGCATACAATACTAAAGTTTCGAATCACGAAAGTCAACAGCCCCTGGATCACTAACACATTTACAGCAACACACACTTTGAATAAAAACAATAAAAGAATTATTTTTTCAAAGAAATTTAATTTTCTTATAAATCCACCAGAATCACGTCATTTAAACTAGTTAACTTAATTAAATAACACAAAATGAAGGTTAGGAATCTGGCAATTATGGGATATCGTTCAGTCGGTAAGTTTAATTAAGAAATTAAAATATTCCGCATAAAATACTTTGATCTTTGTTACATTTAACATAATTAATGCGCATTATATGATTTTCAGGTAAATCGTCGTTGAGTATTCAGTTTACGGAAGGTAATTTCATATATAAATCGAGAGAAATCATTAACGATTAAGTGATACGGATGATGAAGAAAGAAAGTGCCATTTATGCTCACTTTGATGCTTCTTCTTCTTCCACATACTCAAAAAAGTATATATAGTTATCAGTAATCAGCCGTTCCAAAAGTGGTTTCCGAAAATATATAAAAATGTATCATAAATGAGTGTAGCATGATATCAGCATAAGTGCGCAGTATCTTAATTAAACTATGTGTGATTCATTATCGCCTGGATTATGTTTCAGGGATTTTTCCTACAATCTTCTTCTTAACTACTTAATAATGCCATATATGGACATTCTTTAGATGCATGATGATCCTTCAAGTTTTTCATTACGCTACTTTAAGTGATGAAAACCTAACCATTTCGGCGATTTTGCTACATATGCATCAAGATTTGATTTTGAGTCTAAGACACTCAAACAGGCTAGGAGTTGTGTTGATGCTGATAAGTGGAAAAAAGCTATGGAAAACGAAATTAAGTTCATTAATTCAAAATAAAACCTTGGATCTCGTAAAAATGATCAAGAATATATATTGAAGGTCATTTCTCTAAGTTCTAGTCTATGTGTGCATCATAATATTTATATTAAAACTATAAACATTTCATTAAGATCACTTAATTCGTGAATGATTAAACGAAAGTTTTTATTGATTACGACTTTATTATTAATTATAATAATTATTTTTCCTAATGTTCTCATACAGGTCAGTTTGTTGACTCTTATGACCCAACGGTGAGTAGTTTTATGTCGGCAATAAGTCAGAATTTTCCATTAATTAGCTCGACTACAAATTATCATAGATTGAAAGGACTTTCGCCAAGAGCATCAGAATGAATAATACGGATTATGAAATTAAGCTTGTTGATACAGCCGGTCAAGATGAATACAGTATTTTCCCTGCTCAATATTCTATGGATTATCACGGATATGTCTTGGTCTACTCTATTACCAGTCAGAAATCATTTGAAGTTATCAAAATTATCTATGACAAATTAGTTGATGTTATGGGAAAGCCTTAGTAAGTAGAACTGCTATATTTAACCGATTTAGATGTTGAAATTGCAAGTGAATCAGTCTGAAACAGGTGGTTTTGGGTATTATTAGATTCATTCTAGATTTGCTCTTTCAATTGGAATATTGGACGATTTCCAACTCTAGATTCCTTACTTCCACAGACTAGAAACTTCTTCATAACCCAAGACATTTACATTTATGGATCATTAAAGATTTGTCTACAGCAATCTTCAATGATCACCAATAGTCCAAAAAAAATCTCGTAGTGTTCAAAGACAAAGACAATTGCCACTAATTAGCATGTCGTCGTAAATAATTTTAGAACCACACACACTTTTCAAATCCATTTAGGGGCTGTTCATAAGTGACTTCTGTCAAACACTACCTTCTTCTCGATCACAAAGCTATCATTGTTGTATAGTACTTTATAGAATCTACCCCCCCCCCCCCCAACTGAACATTATTTATGAACTATCCCTTACGAACTAGTGCATGCGAATCGACATTTGTCTTATTTCGTAATAGCCAACAACAAATTAGTTACAATGTATAACAATAGAACTTAATGACATGATTTATATTATTACTAACGCACTCTTATTACGTCTAGTGTTCCAGTCGTGTTAGTCGGAAACAAAACGGATTTACATCAAGAACGAGCGGTAACATTTGAGGAAGGCAAACGATTGGCAGAGAATTGGAAGGCAATTTTCTTGGAAACATCAGCGAAACAAAATGAATCTGTCGATGAAATCTTCCTGAAAATCTTAGAGCTTGTCGAGCGAGACAGTAACGGAAATAATCCACCACAGAAATCAAACTGTATCATATCTTAATCAAAAATTATGGAATTGAAAGCTTTTTGATAAAGAATAATCATCATTTTATGACGAAATTAAGAATTGAACTACCACACAAAAAGTAATTTGGAAATGAGAAAAAAAAAAATTTAAATATTTTATAAGCTAGCGACAAATGGATGAGAGAACTAGATTTTAAGTTTATAACAGTGTCAAAAAAAAAACCAATTTTACAACATAGCTAATAACAATGTAACAATATCGTATGATTGAGCTTCTTCTGATGAATTTATGTGTGCTGGAAAATGTCAAATGCTAGCTAAGAGAAACATCTTTTTTTTTTATTAAATTAGTTTAACTGTAATAGGGGCGCATATAACAACAACAACCACACTATGAGAATATGAAAATCTTATTTTTGCACATAATTTTTAAATGGTAAGAATTTTTTTTGTAATTACACCCAATTTCCTACCTTGTTTATTGTTCAATACTTTGCTTAATTTCTTTATAAAACTTAAAATTAATTAAAAGCTAATAGGTTTGCTTTCTGGATTCATCCCAATTGAATTAACATTTTTTTAAAGAAATTAATTTACTTATTTTTAAATATTTTACTCTCAAAATAGAAGAAAAAAAAACAATGAAAAGAATTAAAATCTGAAGAATACATTCTGTAGGACTATAAAGAAAATCAAATAAAGTGTTCATAACCGAAAATGATGTTTTTAAATTCTTCGTTGGAGCTTTATTCTGATAGGAGGTTTTACTGAGCTTTTTGTTGCAACATGTTGGTAGTAAAAGCTTTGATTCGGGAGCTTTATCCGATTATAAAGGGGCCGTTCACTTATTACGTTCGAATTTTAGGGGGGAGGGGGGGTTTGAAAAATTGTAACCAAATGTAACATAGGGGGGGGGGGGGGGTGTCAAGAAGTATGTAACGTTCAAATTGTCGTCTGTCTTTTAAAAAAAAAGTTCACCAAAACCATTTTTTTTAAATTTTCCACCTTTTTAATGATTTACAAATGTCCAGATCTCTTTTGATAGCTAAGCAATACATAGTTTTTGTTATATAAAGTAACAAATCAATTGAAAACTGGTTTACAAGACTTTAAAATAAAATCATAATTTGTGGAAATTTTCAAAATTAAATCAATCATAAGTTTAAAAGTAAATCTCTCTAAATCTGTCATTCATATGATGATTAATATGATCCCATCATTGTGATATTAACATTCAAAGTTGATTGAATTTTCCAAAATTCGATCGGGCATAATATTCTTGAATTTTGTTCAAAAAAAAAAAAAAAAAATTTGCTTTATATCTCAATCCAATAATTCACGAGAATACTAATAGTATCAATCAATAACAATACCTATTAAGCTGTACAGTATTTTGATGTTAAAAAAAAATACAAAAGAAATTTAACCGTCTTTTTAGAATAAAAAATTATCAAAATAAAATAAATTATGAACGTTCGGGGGGGGGTGAGTTGTAATATATTGTAACAAGGGGGGAGGGTGGGGGTGAAAAAAGTCGTTTTCTTGCGTAACGTAATAAGTGAACGGCCCCAAAGTTGTTCTTTTATTTGTTTAGGATAGCTCTAATATAGTCAAAAATAGCTATCCAGAAAAAAATTAGCTTTCATAGTCCAATGTCAATGAGTTTTGTGTCAATAAAATGTTTTCTTTAATTTCAAATTACTATAAAGGAATAGTAAGCCAGAACTTTCGTAGATCATTAAGCATAATTAAATCTTTACACGTGATCTATTGAAATGTTACAACTCACCCAAATTAAGTGAAAAATTGAAAAAATATGTTTGAAAATTTTGTATTTTTCAGGGACCAAAATGAATGAAAAAAATCTGTGATAAAAAACATCATTATTTTTGATGATGAAAAAAATTATAATTTTTTTCATTTACGTAAATTATTACGTAAAATTTCATCACGTAAAAATCATTTTTACGTAGGATTTCATCACGTAAAGCAAAAAATGCAATAAAATCACACCAATTAAATTAATAATGGTAAACAATAAGAACAAGAGATAGAATAGATTGGTTTTGCTTATAAAACTTGAGTAGAAACATTTTATTCGTCATTTTTTGCTTTGTGTGATAAAATTCTACGTAAAAATGATTCTTACGTGATGAAATTTTACGTAAATGAAAAAAATTATAAGTTTTTTCATTATCAAAAATAATGATGTTTTTCGTCACAGATTTTTTTCATTCATTTTGGTCCCTGGTATTTTTTCACGGATTTAGACAAGAAAAAGCTTTTTTATAACTCGATGACACAAGGAAATTTTTCAAAGAATTGACATATTTCATTAATTAATGACTTAAAGCACATGGAAAAGAAACCCAATTACAGATTTTTGCCTGTTTTACAACTCAGTAAAAGTTATTCAATGTGAATATCAATAGTTTTCTCTAATTTTCGATTCTTCGGATGATGAAAATTGAAAATTCCGATTTCTGTCATCGAGTTATTGACTAAAGAATCCATATAACTTAATTAATACAGCGATCAGTATATGATATCAAAATTAGTGTACATTTTAAATTTTTACATCGATAAGAATCAACAATTCAGTGTCTCTGATAACAAAAATCAAATTACGTTTACAACTACAATGAGTTAAGTTCCGTTTGTAAAGCCCCTTTATAAAAATATTTAATCTGTTTTTGATCACCGAAGAAAAAACATCGTTGTTATTAATCTAAATTCATGAGTAATAATTGATTAAGTTTCTTTAAGCATTTAGTTTATTAAACTTACACTTACGAATGGAATATTGTCTAGAATGGGTCCACAAAAGCTCGAAACGAGAGTTTTAATTTATTAAAAACCTGAATTTGAAGATTAGGTACTTGATCCTACACAAAATTTAAATAAACATTTAGTAAAAAGTCTACTCATGCCTACTATAATCAAATTTCAAAGCTCATAATAATCAAATTACGTAAAGCTTTCTTCAGAAAGCTCAATTCACATTCAGACACTCCTCGTTTAGTTATCAATCATTTACAAATCCACTTCCCATTGTTTTATATCTTACAGTAAAGAAAATTCAATATTTTTTATTAACCTTATTGTCTTGAACTTCATAAATCATAAGGTTTTCGACATAATTTCAATAAATTTGTCGTGCTCGGTTTTGTCTTCCTTAACCATCGTACATGCTCCCTCTTGCTTCGTTTCAGTCGAACATTATTATGTGTTTTATGATTATTTTATTGTCGTTGGTAGCTTCCAGTTATGGCTTTATTTCATTTTATCTCATACCATTTGTCAACGTGCTCAGGTGATTAATTTTAATATTTCGCATTTTATCCTTTTTTATGCGCTATATAGAAATTATTAATGGCTGTGGTTAGTTAAGTAAAAAAATGATTTCATGTCTCTGGTTCATTCTCCCATTATGCTTACCCCCTCACTCCAACATTAATTTATGTTTGTTTGCACAAGTGACAAAAAATACAAAACCGCCAATAATTTGTGATGACCGCGACCACATGAAGGGATTAACTGAACATATAAGCAGAAGGGAAAAAAAAGTCATCATTATAATAATTTCAGCACCAAAATTAATGAAAATGTCGTGCTCATCTTTTGTTGTGCGTTTTTTTGAAATAACTTAAACATTAAATGTCAAAAAATCGTAAAGTTCGTTTTAATTAAAATGTAAAACCTTTATTCAACTCATTATTTATGTAAAGTTATGTGGAGAGGATGATGAACAGAATAGTGTGTTACTTTGAGTACTAATTGAGAGCGCATCCTGTTGAGAAATTGATTTTTGAGTAGATATAGTGTTTTCTCATGATGCCAATAATGTAAGTTTGGGTTCGACTGTTGACTTTTTAACAGCTGAGGAACTCGTCCTGTGGATTATCATAAAGCTAATACTAGTTACAAAAGTCTGCAGATTTTGTGACAACGTTCTATGTAATAGTAAAGACTTGAATAAAACCTTCACAATTAAGTCAGATTTTTTATCAATTGTTTGGTTCATTGACTACAGACGCCCTATTTTTGCCTTCGAAGAATTTTCTTAATATAAATCCATTCAATAGACTCTTCTACTCTTCTATAAATCCAACACTTATTTCCCATCTAAAGATAATTAACTTAATTAAGTTGCACTTTTGAAACTTTCAACTTCATCATCAGCTTCAAACTTTAAACTCAGTAGGAACTAACTTCAGCAATCTCATTACCAAGTATGTATAGACATAATGTCAACAGAGACATCATAAAAGTTTCTTCAACAATTTATTGAAATTATGATAATAAGTGTCGGTAATTATAAAGAAGGATTATGAAAAGGGGTAAAACTTTCCTTTTTTTTTCACAACTTAATTGAATTTAATTACAGAATAATGAAAAGGAGATGGCAAGTAGGTGTTAATGAGTAACATAATTTAATATGTTAACATAAAAAACCATCGATTTAAAAGAGAATGAGTAAGCAAACGAAGTAAAATTAATGCTAAATGAGGGATTCATTCGACACTTGTACCGTAATTATGTTTAAGGAAGTGTAAATAACAAGTAGGAATCATGCGGTGTGGTTGAACGTAAACACTTTAAGATTAATGATGTATTTTTTTCATTCTCTCTTATTTTACTCCTTTGTCGCTTCCATGATGAAGATTTGAAGATGAACATGTGAGTGTAAAGCATGGGCGTAAATGTATGTAAATAATTAGATCATTTCTGACGAGATAATTCCGAAGATTTAATGAATGAGTATGAAATTAGTCATAACAAGATCAATTTTATGCTTTTTTGTGATGCTTTCATTCAATAAACTTTTAGCCTTTGCTTTGTGAGTAAACATTCTTGGTACTCGGAAATGTTAATGTGATCAAAGACGTATCATATATCAAATATAAAATGGAACTTTAGGGCATTCTTCCTTAAATGTGGTTGAAAAGTTTTAAACAATAGAAACCCAAAACGGAGATAAACCCCCATTCCTTTACCTCCCAGAATCTGAATGCATAATATTTAATCTGATTGATTATTATTGTTAAATTAGTAAATCATTAAAATATCAATATTTCCATCTAATTTTCAATTAATTTACTATAATTCCCTCGAATATACTGAACTCCAAATTTTGTTGGGAAAATATTGATTTACTTTGACTAATTGGGTATAAAGTTTTAACGTGGTAATTCAACACTTTTCATTCTAATTTTCTTCTAATTCAAGGTATGATATTGAAGGTTAATCATGTTTAAGATTTTCTCATGCCGTTTGATATTCTAAGAATATAATTAATACAATTTAAACTGTACCCTTGAGTATTTTATTACTGTCAAAGGATGCATGACTTTGTAAATGATCTGTAGGAGGATTATTTACGATATATACATTTCAATCTGTATTAATTTATACAAAGTAAAACATTTGATATTTAGATTTCAAACGAATTGATGACATTAAATTAGGATGAAAAACCATTTAAAATCAAATCAAATTAATTTAAGTCGCATTTAAGAGCACTATCATTAGCAAAAAGACTATATTTACCATAACCAGTGAAGCCTTTTAAGTTAATCAATGTTTAATAAGCTTTAAGAAGAATTCCAAGAGCGTCATTAGCAACAATTTTCTTCATTGCTTAATTATTGCAGTCCACCAAAAACAATGAAACAAAATCCACAGCAGAATTCTTCTGAACGACAATAACGAATGGGAAATCATCCTACTGCAAATTTTCACGTCCAAAAGCGTGTGGGAGTTGGACACGAACAAGTGATAATAAGACTGTAAGCACATCATTCAATCTTGTTTCTAAACAAATTGAAAATAATTGATTGTCATTTACAATTCATTTAGGTAGAATATGAAGCAGCATAAGGTTACTTCTAATAATGCTTCTATTCACAATTTGTATTGCATGCATTGGACAAGCTTTGCTGTAAGCTCTTCAAAGAAATGTTTTTGGTTTAGAACTCTTATTGACTCGTCTGCAATAGAAGTTGTTATTGATTGAAATTCTGGAAACCTAGAATTTATCTTTGGGTTCATTTATTATATGATCGATGTGATAGACTTAGATTAGTGTTCCAGATAAACCTGCTGTAAGTTTTCAGGATCGGAGTATTCAGATTATTAAGTGTGTAGCTTAAAAGCATTATAAACTTGACCTTGAGCTTTACTGAAAAATAGACTCATTGTCAATGTTTTACAATTTGAGGCACTTATCCTTTAGAATCTCTTAACCTCATTTTATACGATAAAACAACAAATAAGTCAATCCTTGTTTCTTAAGAAGCCCCAAACATATTCATCCATCCGTCTTGTCTCTCATTATTTTGAATATATTTTGTTTACTTATTCATTCATCCATGCTCATTGAATATATCATAATATTCAGTCCATAAATTTCTTGTCTGCTTACTCCGCATTCATGATGAGCTTGAAAGCTTTCTTCATTTGTCTTGGGTCTTGGTCATTGCTTTTTATTCCAAAATTTAACTATCAAATGATGTTGAAAATTGAGTCACCAACAACAATATTCAAATCAAAATAATGACGATGAATAATTTTCGGACATAGCTCACAGCATCATATAAATAAAATTAAGTGAATGACTGAGTGAATCTTGCTGAGTATATCTTTGTTGCTTCCATTAGTAACGCAGACCACAAACAATGAGTAAGAAAAGAATTTATTGCACCCTTATGAGGCATCTGCTTGCGTTCAGCAACACTTAAAATGACGATCGTATATCATGGCAGCAGGGTAGAGAATGGAGCTTTTTCTCTCTCAGGTGACGATGCCTGCTCATGCTGAATGCAAGCACAATAATAAGAGAAAATTGAAAAAAAGAAAAAGCTTTCAGAAAAAATGACTTGTGATAAATTCAAAATAATTTTTCATATTTTAGCGAGATTTTATAGAAGCAAGGGAAAGATTCATACAGTCAGCTGTTAGTCGCATGTCCAAATTGTAAAATGTGAGCGTTGTGGTTTATGGTGCCAGACTTTTTCTACAGTTTAGTTTTTCGGAAGCTGTGATTTTATCACTAGATATTTTGTTGACAATGAGGATGGCAGCAAAAGTTTCAGATGCAAATGTTGGTCTAAGTTTTGAAATGTTTAAAGACTTGCTGATGCAGTTAAAAAGCTCGTAGAATTTGCAGTTTGAAATGACTCAATTGTCCTGAATTGCAAGTTAAGACCGTCATTTTTAAAATTTAACCTAGATTAACCTTAAATATGCAGCAATAATCCTTAATGTTTAAATTTGCTTACATCTAGATAAGAATCCTGAATACAGTAAAGCTTATATCACTCAAAGTGAAACAAACAATCTCGAATAAAACTTCTAAAACAAAATAATCAATGAATAAGCCACAACTCAATCTTTAAAACCGCATAGCTTTAAAAACAAAGATTTCTTTTTCCATTAAATGCCCATAAAACTGGAGCAAACTCACTCACGTTTGAAAACTTTCCTACTTGCTTACTTTCCTTTCTCGTTCCATCCAATTCATTTTCCCTTCAACTTCTTTTACTTTTTCCACCTTTTCATTTACTCAATGCTTCTTATAGAAACTAAAAGCAAGCGTCGAATGCTGAAGGTGGTCGTTCGTTGTTTACAGAAATGTCATATAACGATAATGGCACCACTGCTTTAAGGTATAGCTCTATAATAAGGTATTAGTAGCAGCACAACAATGATGATTAATTTTTCATGTACACGACTTAAAAAATGATGATTTTTTATGAATTACCAGCAGATGAAAATGCATGAAAGGAAGAAAGACGAAGGGAAAGAAAATTTTCCATTGCCATGAATCAAAAAGAGTCTTACAGGTAAAGAAAATTCTTTTATTTTGGTTTGGAAGTAAGAAAATGAAGAAAAGCGTCTTCGAAGCGCATTTTAATTAGCACTCGTGATTCCAGGATTAAAACAGTTCCTGAAGATTGGCATTAACACGCCTCTTTTATGGCACATCTCACTCCTGACTCTCAAGTATCTTAGCCTTGTCTAAACTAGTCCCTAATCCCTAGAATGACTTCTTAGACTTGTAAAAGACTGATGGATTAACCAAACGATGGACGAAAAGACAGAAGCACAGACAGTGAGTCAGGCAATGATCAAACAGTAGTTTTAATTAAAACACGCTTTAAATGATGAAGAGACGGCTAGGAAATAAAAAAATTTCTCTCTGTGAATGCTCAGCCTGTTGCTGAAGCATTCTATCCATGTGAAGCTTTAAGGATAGCAAATTTTTTTATGCATAAACCAAAAAATCTTTCATGCGTTCACATTCGTCTCGCTCGCTCCAACAACAACAAAAATAAAATTATTTATTGTATGTTTACAACAATTTATCTATGTGTACATTACATGAGATAAATCTCGTATCATATGGGAAGTATGTCAAAATTTCATTGTAGCTTACAATCGGAAGTTTTATTCTTTTATATTTTTTTGTCATTCGACGCTCTTTGAAACTGCAGAGGATAAAGTGAGGGAATTTAAACTTTTTGCTGTGTACTTTAATATAAGAAAGACCTTAAAGCATGTGTTCAGCTAGCGTTTAGACAACTTTAGCGTACCTTTTTAAATGCCAACAAAAAAATGTTTTCTTGAGAAAAAATGTTCTTTTTATTTTACACCTACATGAAAGTCTTCTTGAATGTCAATAACTGAGACATTCTATAGACTCACCTTGGCTGAAATAATTTGTAAGAATCGATATCTTAAAATAGATCACGACAGGTTGATTTGAATGATGCCTAAGTTAAATTTTGACAAAAAAATTGCTCTTAATTTACTTCTATAAGATTTTAATAAAAATTGGCAAAAAAATGAGGAACGCTTCACGATTTTGCGTGTCATCCTTGCGCAGGGGCCATGCTAATCTTCTCTGTATCGTTCCAATTTTAGTATATGTCCTGCCGAGGCAGGACGATTAATTTAGGCTTAAATGCTTATTTAAATTACAAATTTTGAAAACTCCTCTTGTGAAGTATAAAGATTTCATACAAAAATTATAAAGTTACTTTTTTGACATTTTAAATCTTAAATTCTGTCCTAAACTATTTTTCAGGCATCAGGCATAATTAAAATGTAATCATCGTGAAAACTAGATGCTTTTAATTAATTTGATTAGATCAAGAGTAGCCATAAAATATTTTATCTACATGAACAGAACATAAATTCAATTTTGTATGCTGTTTACTGTTCAAAAAGGCACAAAACTTAATTGACATTCTCAATTAACATGTATCTAAGCATCTCCATGCTACACATTTGCTAATCTTTAACGTAATATATTTAATTATTAATAACATCAATGTTGAGCATGAACTTTCATTATAATGAGTACGATTTCTCTTCTGAAAGATTTTCTGGTCTTTTCTGCATCTTGGCAACTGTACATAAAAGTATTTAGCAATAAGAAAAAAATCTCATTTTCCATTCGAATTATTTCTTACGATGATTAATCATTTATCTGAGTGGAAATGCTTAATTAAATCTTTCTTCCGTTAATGGTAGCTACAAAAAAAAAGTTTGATGAATGTCCATGGAAACCACTGCTTCATCTTTTGATCTGTCTGCTAATGCAATTATGCGAATTAATGGGAAATTTATGAAGTGCCGTAGAGTTGCAGAAAGTTTCGTAAGCCTTATTTTTTATTTGTACTGATTTGACGATATTGCTGCTATTTTTAGATATATTTTTTCGTAAGAAAAGTTCAATTTATTGAAAAGCTGCATAATAGATCATATTACTAGTCCATAAATGATTTTCAATTCCATTGAATGTTGTTCTAAATCAGAATTGTTATTTATGAAATGAAAAATTTATCATTTAAAACTTACAGTTAATTAAGCAGACATTTTTAATCCTATAGACATATTAAATTGTTGTCATAGAACTAAGAAATAAGGTTCAATTTGAATTGATATGCTGATAACAAATTCGTTTTATTGAAAAAATATTTTTCATAATTTTTGTGTGAAATCTTTATACTTCACAAGAGGAGTTTTCAAAATTTGTAATTTAAATAAGCATTTAAGCCAAATTTACTCGTCCTGCCTCGGCAGGACATATACTAAAATTGGAACGATACAGAGAAGATTAGCATGGCCCCTGCGCAAGGATGACACGCAAAATCGTGAAGCGTTCCTCATTTTTTTGCCAAAATATTTAAAACATATTTTTTTTCGCATTAAGGTTTTGTTGTTAGAATATGAAATTCATAGGATCGAGTTTCAAAGAAGATTCTTTTTATTTGAGAAAATTCAACTTGGGAATAAAATCAAGATTTTATATTATCAACACAATTTTACTCTTATTATCTCTTAAAAATTGAGTAGGTTTGATTGACACAAGAACTTCAAAGAGGACTTCAATTGAAAATAAATGCTTGAGGATTCAAATAAAATATCATAAATCTATTGAATATTTTAAAAATAAATGCCAGATACTATAATGTTGCAACAGACACGTCACATACAGTAGGAATCAGTGTTGCATTCTGGCCATTTGCCTGGATCAGATAAATTCTGAGACAGAAATTTCTTCATAAAGATCGATTCTATATGAAGATAGAAAATCTAATCTACACAAAGATTATTTCTACATAAAGATTCTGTCTACATAAAGGTTCGATGTATATGTCTACAATTCTATATTCTTCTCTGATGTAGAGCTGGAAAAAATGTAGAATTGTAGACATCTACATCGAATCTTTATGTAGACAGAATCTTTATGTAGAAATAATCTTTGTGTAGATTAGATTTTCTATCTTCATATAGAATCGATCTTTATGAAGAAAGTTTCTTAGCTAGACAAAAACTATTGAAGAATCTACATTCTTCATCTAGTGTAGACATCTACATTTGCAACACTGGTAGGAATCGAATCATAAATCAACAAAGTTTGTTCATTTATGAATATTATAAATTAAGACTAAATACTCATGAATTTTAAAAGCTTGTCATAAAACTATAACCTTCGACAGCATAACATAGTTATGTTCATTTTGTTATAAAATATTTATCGTAATTTCACCCCATCAGCATAAACGTCCTGTTCAACAAATTTTATTGAAACTTTTATAACTTTTTTCATTGACATTTGCATTGCAATTTCTTTATTTTGCTCGTATAAAGAAGCTTTTACCAATGGAACAAAAAGAAATGAGGAATTAAAGAGGAAAAGCACGTAAAATGGAGCACAAAACAAAATAACATTATTTTTTCTCATCACGCTTGATGTGTCGCATCATCAAAATACCAAATTTGAATGAATTTTTAATGAACTTCATTTCTTTTGTCTTCTGTCGCAATTTTCATGTACGATTCCTTTTGCTTCCGACATCACTCAAAATTCGACATTCGCAAAAATGTATGGCATATAAAAAGACATAGAAGAATAAGATGAATAAATTGAGTGGTTGTAGGAAGGGAATAAGGAAAAAATTACAGAAGTCCTCGTGTTATTGATCGAGGGACTTAAGCGCATTTTTGTGTTAGCGATCAGTATTTGATTATGTAATTATTTTGCGTTCATTTACAGATCATGAGAAGATTAGAAGATCATTAATTTTAGTGTAATTAACAAAAAGTTACAATGAATGCTTATATAGAAAGGATTATTATTTAACGGTCAATAAATAATTTGAAATTTTGCCGTTAAAAGTTGCACTACGAAAATATTAATTATAGTATAATTAAACAATTTGTTGCAATAAATTTCCATACAGAAAGGGTTTATCATTTAACGGTTTTTTTGTAATTCAAATTTTCTAAAGGTCAATAAATAATTTGAAATTTTCCCGCTATAAGTTGCACTACGAAAAAATTAATTATAGTATAATTAAATAATTTGTTGCAATGAATTTCCATACAGAAAGGATTTATCATTTAACGGTTTTTTTTAATTCAAATTTTCTAACGGTCAGTAAATAATTTGAAATTTTCCCGCTATAAGTTGCACTACGAAAAAATTAATTATAGTATAATTAAATAATTTGTTGCAATGAATTTCCATACAGAAAGGATTTATCATTTAACGATTTTTTGTAATTCAAATTTTCTAACGGTCAGTAAATAATTTGAAATTTTCCCGCTATAAGTTGCACTACGAAAAAATTAATTATAGTATAATTAAATAATTTGTTGCAATGAATTTCCATACAGAAAGGGTTTATCATTTAACGGTTTTTTGTAATTCAAATTTTCTAACGGTCAATAAATAATTTGAAATTTTCCCGCTATAAGTTGCACTACGAAAAAATTAATTATAGTATAATTAAATAATTTGTTGCAATGAATTTCCATACAGAAAGGATTTATCATTTAACGATTTTTTGTAATTCAAATTTTCTAACGGTCAGTAAATAATTTGAAATTTTGCCGTTAAAAGTTGCACTACGAAAAAATTAATTATAGTATAATTAAACAATTTGTTGCAATGAATTTCCATACAGAAAGGGTTTATCATTTAACGGTTTTTTGTAATTCAAATTTTCTAACGGTCAATAAATAATTTGAAATTTTCCCGCTATAAGTTGCACTACGAAAAAATTAATTATAGTATAATTAAATAATTTGTTGCAATGAATTTCCATACAGAAAGGATTTATCATTTAACGATTTTTTGTAATTCAAATTTTCTAACGGTCAGTAAATAATTTGAAATTTTGCCGTTAAAAGTTGCACTACGAAAAAATTAATTATAGTATAATTAAACAATTTGTTGCAATGAATTTCCATACAGAAAGAGTTTATCATTTAACGGTTTCTTGTAATTCAAATTTTCTAACGGTCAATA